AAATGGGAGGGTCCAGGAGTCCAGGTCAAGAGTTCTAGGCATGAAAAGCTTAAGTCTTCTGGGGCCAGGTTTCTGGACAGAGGGACACTGACATTGATGCAGGGTATGGTTTCAATTTTAATGAAAATTTATTTGCCTGTATCATGTCTCTTTTCTTTTTACTGCCTGATCTTTCTGCCTCTTAGATTGTGGATGGATCCCAACACTTTATCCTCAATTATTGTCTCATATCTCTTTACACTCAGTCCCTCAAGGAGCTAATCTATTCTCATGGCTTTCATTTTCTATCTCCTTCCCTGGTCACTTGACATCTATTCCAGTACCTCCAACAACGGAAAGGGAATCTCTACTTTCAATATTGTTGTTATCTCAAAATCACTATGCCCACAGCCTAACTCATTATTTTCTCCCTAAATTGGTCTCCGTTTTTGCCAATAACCAGACCCATTTGTTTGAGAGCTTTGTGCCATGCTTTGAGGAAGATGGAAAGTTTAGATAAGATGTGGCCTCTGCCTTCAAGGAATCTGTAGTCAAGAACAAGTGTGAGAAATGAATACAGATGTCTTGAATGCACGTGATTAGTACATTAGAGAATTACAAAAATTTTGATTTGGTGACCAAGGCCATATATAACTAGGAAAAATGTGATTTCTCCCTTATAAAAATTCTTTTTGCACATAACTGTCTTGACTCCTAGCTTAATACTTAGATGTTATCTGATTAGGTCACATTCATGAGCTAACTGTTTCTTGAGAGCAGAGACTATGTCTTATATTTCTTTGTCTTTCACAAAGTAGTGAAGACAAGGGCTGGATCTATAACGGTAGATAAATTAATAAATAATTAGTAGATTAATTGATTCCCAAAGAATTACGATGTCAGTAAAATGTACAACACCACAATCGTGTTGAATATAATACAATCTTTCCCTGATGAGTCCTAAGGCACAGAATTGAGCAACCTTTCAGGATTGTTGCTATAAATATCAATCCTTACTACACTGCAAATATGAAGAAAAGACTGGTGAATTTAAGAACTCCAGTGAATAGAGTGACATATAACTGAGAGTCTACTAGGAAAGGCTATATGTAGAAATTTTGTGCTAAAGAGTCCTGGAAATAATTATGGAGTGATTAAAATGTAAATAATTTGGAGAGTGAGGAGAAAAAATCATCCAGGGGAGGCCCAGATACCATACCAAATAAGATAATGTTCCTGAACATATTTGGTGTGATTATGCCCCTGCTATATATGTCTACATGAAAATATAGTAAAGTGTTATAACTTACAGATATACTGTTAGTCAAGCTAGTAAGCAATTCTCACTGAAAAAATCTGTCATAGGCATCTCCAAACCTCCAGTGTTACTGGACTCATTTAATGGTACAATCAGATTTCATATGCTATCTGAGAGCTTCCAAATTAAGAAATTTAGAGGTAAAATTCAGACTGATTCACTCATTCAGGGTTAGAAGCATACTTATGTATATAGAGGCATGGGTTCACAGGCCATTAGAACACACAGATACATAGTAAATCTCAGCTCTGTTCTATAAATTACTTCCCATAAAACTATAAAATTTTTTTAGTTGAAGGGGATTTTAGAGAGAGATAATCTATTTCACCCCTTTTCTTCCCCCATAGATGAGATATCTAAGTTCCTGAGAAATGTTGGAATAAACATTTTTTGATTTAATTTTCATGTTTAATTTTGCCAAGTTCAGAGCACTTTCAATGTCATGATACAACCTAAATTCTGGTTTTATCATTGCACAATTACAAGTTTTGTCCAAAAAGGCTAATATGTGAAATTTTAATGTGGGGACACAGTCATGTGATTTAATCCGATGCCTTCCAAGATAATGTAAACAGACCCACCATGTCTCTGTTGGCCGCGGTACTTGTGCAGGGCGGCTATCTACAGAAGGTGTCCTTGTTTAGCAATCACACGGGGGAATAATTGAATTCAATAAAAAGCTTCTATGGATTTAAAGCCTCAGAGGGAAGTAATGAAATTTAATAGACTCCATGAAAATATACAGTGTTCTTTATGCTGAACTGCTTTTCCAGTTTTCTTCATCACATCCAAAGTAGATTAGCCTTTTATGCTTCTGGTTCTCTTTTGTTCTCATTGCTGTAAGATTAAAAATTTTAAACCCTCTATTAATTTAACATTTTAGATGTTATCTACTCCATAGTCAAGAATCTAAAAAGTATATTTTTCCATTTCAGCTCTAACTCTGAATTCCTTGGTTCCTAGAACATACAATAATTTTTATTCATTTTATGCTGTTTTTGCCATAAATATTCACTGAAAAATTGCTGCCTAATTATCTTTATTATGAAAAAATTGGCACAAATTTTGCATTAATATTCATGTTAATATTGCTTTAGAGTAGAAAATCTTTTGTCAAATGGATGAACTGATTGTAAATTCAGTTTAGTTCTTCCCTTAGTGAAATATCCCTCTGATCCTAATCCAAAGGAATTAACAAATGAGATTCATCTGTAGTTAATAAAATATTTAAGTTCCCTCCCCCAACCCAGAAAACTACCCAAATAACCTTTAGTTATAAAGCTAATGTTGTTCATCCAGGGCTCTGCTCATCACTGCTCATGGTGCCCAAATTGAGGGGTTTTTTCCTACTTCCTCATGCTTCTTAAATCATTACTTTATTAACTACTTAACTGTGTGACTCAATAAGGTTGGAAAAGGGATACTCTGTGCTCTTTTAAAAATTAGGTGCATAAAAATGTGACATTTTATGTCATTAAAATAGGTCGGACTTGAAAGTACATCTTCTAGGGTTTTTTAGTTTAATCTCTGTGCTTGTAATTTTTATTGTCATTGACTAGGTAGCAATTGTGCCTTGGGTTCGAGAGTACAAACTGAATGATGGGTCTCTCCTCTGGACATTAATGATTCAGGTACCAAAGAATCACAGAATTTTAGAGTTTGAAGGGATCTTAGCAGCTAACCCATACTCCAAAGAATCTTTACTATAACATACCTGATAAGAGGTCATCTAGCCTTTGCTCGAAGGCCTCTCATAAGGGTGATCTGATTATCTTCATTCCAAATTCTGATAAGTGAAATATGATTAAACAAAGGATCCAGACACATAATTGGGCTAATCCCAGAAAATAAACTCATCATCATATTACTAATAAAGATAAAAGACTGTACACTGTAGGATGTGAATCCTCCACTAAATCCTAACCAAGTGCCTCATCTTGGTGATCTCATGTACTATGCCAGTGGAGAGTAAGTTCTGGTCTGGTCTTACTACACTGAAAAGCCTTTGTTTATACATCTGAGATGGTTTTTTTTTTTTTTTTATCCAAAAGCAGAGATCATTAATAGAACATTATTTACCAGTTGGCCATAAAGAGGATGTAATGAAATGAAATCTTGAATCTTTTGAAATATTTAGACAGAATAATTACATTCATTAATTTAATGAATTTATGAGAGTATATTTTGATGGGAATACATTTAATTAGGTTAATTATCCATGAAACAAAGAAAAAGATCTCTACAGTAAGATACAAAAGAAATAGAATACTTAGACATAATGTAATTCTAAATGCTATTTGCTCCAAGTCTCTGCTTGCTTCGATCTTAATCTTCTCTAAGAATTTTTACTTTTTATATTTTCTTACCCACCAAGCTTCTAGAAATTGAAAAGCTGTCCTGGATCTTTCTTTTCTAATTTCTGATTTCCATAATCCTTTGCAGCTTTGGGTAAATCCTTTAGGCTGTGATTATTTAGTTGTTTGAATGTCATCATTCCCCTTATTTTTGCAAAGGTGAATTGTTTAGTAGGGCAGGGTAATACTTGGGGAGATTAACCTAGGGTTAATATAGGTAACAAACAAGTTGTATTATCCATATGGATAAAATAAAGAGTTGCGAATAGTTAGAAACAGAGTATTTGTTTTGTCCAGCATACACATCATTTTGGAAGTGTTCTTTTTAAAAGAGAATCTAAAATTACTAAACCTGAAGAGGGAAAATTCTTTGCTGTCACTTTCAAAAGAACAATATACAATTATCTGTCAGTTTCAGAGATTATAATGAAAGTAATTATGCGTTTGCTTTGTTTTCACCTGCAGAACTCATGCCAGTCAAGGACATCTTTGAGAAAGCCATTTCTGAAATGTGGGGAAGGCATTGCAAGACATGAACAGAATAATAAGAACCTTTTCAGAAAGAACCCCAAACAACCCAGCAATTAAATGACCAGGCAGATTAGCTTGGGCTGCCAGCCTCATTTCAGTTTGCCTCACTTGCAGGACCGGGTGAAAAAAAGCAAGAAAACCATCCTTCTCTAGAATGGCAAGCGAACACCCACATGGTTACCTTGAGTAAAGAGAAAGAGACAGCTGCATCCCTTCTCAGGAAGAAGTAAAAGAGTTCCAAATCTGAAGAGAATAATCAATGGCTACAGGAAAGAAATGGTGGACATGTAAAGATAGAGACCACTCTTACACCAGGGGTGAATTGGCCTGATCTCATGCAACAGTATCATGGCCAAGAAAGTGAGTCAAAGTCCCAGACAGATGAGAAGAATGAGCCTCAGTTTCTTGACTGTCAAAATGGTTTAGAAAATAGAGAAGAACCCACATATAATCAAATTCAGCAACACTTTGACATGCTGAGTCCACTTCCAACGGTGGAAAAGACTCCAATAACTCCTGAGAATTCCAGTATCCAGAGGTTGTACAGAACCAGGAGAAACAAGTAGATAGGACCAATGAGAGCTACAATTCAGCAAAAGTGCGTTTTGTTTCCTGTCACCCAAATGAAAAGCGTGTATCTTCTAGAGCTACCCCAGGGCATAGAACAAGAGCCTCTCCTGAATTTAAGAAAGTCAGTGACAGAATAGTGAAGAATGTCCATCAGCTGAATAAGGGCATGGGAAAAGAAAAAGAGTATATGCTGGACTCTCACAAAAGAAAGCAGCAAGACAAAAGAGGGATAGTCAGCTTGGGGAATGATGAGTCGCCATCTAAAGAGAAGCTCATTTTCTGGCTCCATACCTTGTCACCGTTTATGTGAGGATCTTCCAAATATACACCATGCTAACCAAAATCTGGACCTTTCTGAACCTGACTATGCTAGTGATGAGCCTAGTGGATCAGAGGAGGTGGCCTTGAGAAGATCTAGCAAATTCTTTGTCGAGAAAAGGAGGTCTCAGAAGCTGTTAGGACTGAAAGATGACTCCTCCAGGGTCATTAGCAGTGAATCAAGTACTGAAATTATTGAACTAAGAGGACGCTGGACTCTGTCCTCTTTTCAGACATCTCATGACCACCACATTGGGCCAACAAGGCCCAAGAAAGAGCCGAAGCCCAAAAGTACCACCAGGAGCATCCAGATTCCAGACGTGCAGCCACCAGCTTGTGATCTTGTAACCAGTTTATTCCCTGTTTTGAAGGACAAAGTAAACTCACCTGAGCAAGAACCATATGAAATCTTCCATGAAGGTACATTAGGTAGAGTGTCAATGTGGTCATTGCATATATATTGGATTTTGCAGATGTGGTTTTATTGCATTTCATCAATGAATTTTCAGTAGGGAAATAAGGTGATAGAGTGGAAAATGGTGCTGGCTATAGAATTAGAAGTCTAGATTCTGCTTCTTGCTACCTGAATGGCTTTAGGCAAATCACTTCAGTTCTCTGGATCTCTGGATCTTTTTTTTTAATCTTTAAAATTGGAGTGTTGGATTAATCTTTTCCAATGAATGAATGACTGAACACATGAGTGAATGAATAAAAAAGCACTTAAGTTAACTAGCATTTATTTTTTTAAATAGTATTTTATTTTTTTCCAATTACACATAAAGACAATTTTTAACATTCATTTTAAAAATATTTTTAATTCCACATTTTTCTCCTAACTTCTTTCCCTTCCCTCCTCCCTAAAACTGTAAGCAATCTGATATAGGTTATATATGTACAATCATGTCAAACATATTTCCATATTAATCATGTTGTGAAATAAGAAACAGAACAAAAGGGGGAAAAAATCCTATGAAAACATTAAGTAAAAATAGCATGCTTTACTCTGCATTCAGATTCCATCAGTTCTTTCTCTGGATGTGGATAGAATTTTCCATCATGAGTGTTTTAGAATTTTCGTAGATCATTGTACTGCTGAAAAGAGCTAAGTCAATCATATCAGCTAGCATTTATTAAACACCTTCTCTGTGCCAGGGACTGTGCTAAGCAATGGGAATATGAAGAAAGGCTAAAAACAGTCCCTGTTCTCAAGGAGATGACAGTCTAAAAGGGGAGGCAACATGAAAACAACTATGTTCAGACAAGATATATACAGGATAAATTGTAGATAATCAACAGAGGGAAAGCACTCAGATTAAGGGACTTAAGCTGAGACTTGAAAGAAGCCAGTGAAACCAGAAAGTATTGATTAGAAGTCAGTTTAACACCTAAGTGGAGGATGAACTGGAGCAGGGAGAGACTTGAGGCAGGGAAATTAACAGGCTATTGCAATGATTTTGTCGTGAGGTAACAAGGGCTTGCATCAAGTGTCAGAGGAAAGAAGTAGATGTATATGAGATGTGTTAAGAAGGTAAAATTGACAGTCTGGGAGAACTGTTTAGATATGGGGTGTGAGAGAAGAGGGAGGAGTTAAGGATGACATCTAGTTGTAAGCCTGGGTGACTGGGAGGATACTGGTACCCTTGATAGTGATAGGGGAGTTAGGAAGAAGAGAATGTTTTGGAGGAAAAGATGAGTTCAGCTTTGGACCTGCTGAATTAAAGATGACTAAGTGACTTCTAGTTTGAGTTGTCTAATAGACATTTGAAGATATGAGATCAGGAGAGAGGTTATAGCTGGGAAAATCTGAGAATTAGCCACATAGAGAAGGTAACTTGATTCATGAGAATTGATGAGCTCACCAAGGGAGATAGGATAGAGTGAGAAGAGAAGAGAGATCAGGACAGAACACTATGGGACCCCCACAGTTAATGAGCATGACCTGGATGGAAGATTCAGGCTATGAGACTGAGAAGGAACAGCCAGAAAGATAAGAGGAAAATAAAGAGAGAACAATGTCATGAAAACCTAGAGAGAAGAAGAGAAGAGAGTATCAAGAAGGTGATAATAAATCAAAGGCCAAGAAGGATGAGTAAAGGTCATTCAGTTTGGCAATTAAGAGATCAATGATAAATTTGGAGAGAATAGTTTAAGTTGAAAGATGAGGTCGTAAGTCAGACCGAAGAGATTTAAGAAGAGTGAGAGGAGAGTAAGATAGCCTCTTTTCTGGAGGAGCTCACATTCTAATGTGGGAAGACACATATAAGAGGTTTTAGTTGCAGGTCAGATGGAAACAATCTGTAGTCCTTAGGATGCCACAACAAAGCAGATGTTATTGCATGTTCCTAAATGTATTTTTCATGAATGAAACCACATCTATTTCTGGTGCTGAGCCATTTGATAGTGACAAAGACTTTGGAGGTGAGAATATTTTCCTCACTGGGTCTTCAGTATCTGTGGCTGTAGAGGCAATTGCTAGGTCACATGTCCCCAAAGGTTGTTTCCACGGACAATTCCTGAGAGGACCAAGCCATAACGAGGGCCGGTAGTCTAGGATGGGTGCTGCTATATTCCTAGGGCTCTTTGACCTATCTACTCATTAGTGACAATTTATCAGTGGTTAGTGTTGTTGTTGGTGGTGAATGTAGACTCTTCTTCGCAGGGGTTATCCCACTCAACAATGACAATGGGGGATCAGGCTGAATTTGGGCTAATGTTCGGGGTGTGTGTGTGTGTGTGTGTGTGTGTGTGTGTGTGTGTGTGTGTGTATGGGCGTGCATAGGCAAGCATGCATGCTGCTTTTTCTGAAGGTCTTGGGTATAGGATAATGTCATGTCTACATGGCGGTGTAAGAAGAGGTGGTGATCAAGGTGATAGTGTGGTTTGACCTATTTGGCACATGCCTTTTCTTGCCTTTCCCACAGGGTTCCTTGCTGCTTCCGATTGTCAGGTTTCTCTGCCCGATTGATCTCATTTTCGTCTTGGGTTAGGAAGATTGGTCAGAAAGCAGATTTTGTGTGTGTGTGTATGAAAAAGCTTCTAAATGCCTTTCTTTTTGGATAGAGAGCTGGCCTTGGAGACAGAAAGAAGACCTGGGTTCATCTTGTCACCAGTACAACTAGCTGTGTGACCCTGGGCAAGTTATATAACTTCTCAGTGTCCCAGGCAACTCACCAAGACTATGTTATAGAGAAGGTGTGGACTTGCACCAGTTGAAGAAATTTCTCCCAGGGAACTCTTATACATTGGAAATTGATGATCTATGTATGGCCTATATGGTAACCCCCCTCCCAGATTGACTGTTTTTGACTAGGTAAAAGAAGACATTCTTTGCCTCATTCTTTACCTAGCCTTAATCACTGAATGGTCATTGTCTCAGACAAACTGAGACCTGGGAAAGACTTTAGCTTAAAAAGTCCAAGGTCTCCCACTGCAACTGGGGACATCTCTAGTCATCCTGATCTTAATCTTGCCACTGGATCCAGATGGCTCCAGAGAGAAAGCGAGGCTGGTGACTTTGCACAGCACTGCCTCACTTAAATCTAATTCACTTGCAAGCCATGGCTTCACCTTCTTCATGCCACAATCCTCTTTGAGAATGAAGGACAAACAACATCTGATTAACCAGAATACACCATTCTTCATCCACGTTAGAAACATTATTATAGGATTGGAACATACTCTCAAAAATTAGTCATATTTAGGCAAGACAATTTTAGTCCTGGGAGAAATTAATGGAAGAGTCACCTCTTCTTAACCTCTGCTTTTCCCAGTCCTGACTTGCATATGTCTTCTTATCCTCCTCACCTGTCTTACAACTCCCCTAACCTATCTTATACTGATTTCAATTATGGTGGAACCTACTTGCCTCCACAACCCTTCTTCTTGAAGCAATGTTAATGGAGTGTCCCTTTCAAAGGTATGGCCAGCAAAGAAAGGCAGACTGCCCCAAGGCTAGTGATGGGGCTGTATCTAAGAGGAAGAAACCCCTTCTTAGTAGAGAAGAAATTTGAAGGATTAGCTCCACTGAAAGCTTTTTAAGTGCGAGGGTTGAACAATCCATTCAATTTCCCACTTTTGTCATACATAAAATACATTGTCTTTTAGATTTCTCTCTGGGATGCTATGATATTGTTCCAAAAAATAATATTCTTGCTATTCCTTAGAAGTAGAAGGTGGTTTTAGTGTTCTCTGAACTACAAAGGTTAAGAATGGTTATTTCTACTAATTAAAGTCATTTAAAAAGTAGAATGTCATGCTGCTGATCATTCAGTACTTTCTATGTCCTCTAATGCTATCTGGAATTGCTAAGAAAATGTCATAGAAATTTTTTTAGAGTAGTAGCAGGAATCCATTTAGAGGGCTGGATTTAATTCAATAAGCATCTATCAACAATCAAGGAACCAATAACAATCATTTATTAAGTGTTTAATAGATGCCAGGCATTCTGCTAAGCACTGGGAATATAAAAAAAAGAGAAAAAAAACTTTCTTGCCCTCAAGGAGCTTACATTTTAAGGAAGGTAGATAACATGTACACGAATAGCTTTATATACAATAAATAAATAGGTGGATATCTGTACAAAATATATACAGAGCAGGTAAAGGGTGACCTTAGAAGGCAAAGTAGTTAGGGGGACCAGGAAAGACCTTTAGCGGAAATAGTGGTATTTGAAGGAAGCCAAGGATTCTAAGAGAGAGAAAGGGAGAGGGGAGAGGGGAGAAGAGAGAAAGGAGAAGGGAGAGTGGAGAAGAGAAAAGGGAGAGGGGAGAGGGGAGAGGAGAGAGAAAGAGAGAGAGAAAGAGAGAGAGAGAGAGAGAGAGAGAGAGAGAGAGAGAGAGAGAGAGAGAGAGAGACTGAGACTTTCTAAGTGCTATAGACAGTGCAAAGGCATAGAGATAGAGCAGTACATGTGAGGAATGATTAGTATGGCTAGCTAGATTGTAGAATGTGTGGAGAGGAGTAAAGTGAGAGAAGACCGAAAATATAGAATGAGGCAAGAACTAGGTTGTAAAGAGTTGTAATACCAAAGAAAGAATTTTACATTTTATGCTAGAGGGAACAGGGAATCACTGAAGTTTATTGAGAATGGAAGGGGGGAGGTATGACATGGTCAGACCTTATTTTTAGGAAAATTACTTTGATGGCTATAGGGAAGATGGATTGGAGTAGAAAAAAAAATCGAAAGAGGGAAACATATTAGGCTGTTGCAATAGATGTGGATCTGAAATAGTTTGTGTGAAAGAATGGAAAGAAGGGAAGTATGCAAAAGATATCGTCGAAATACAAACAATGGGATTTGGCAAGATTTGACTGACTATGTGGGGTAAGTGAGTGACGGGGCAAGAATGACACTGAGTTTGCAATCTGAGTAACTAGTTGGATGGTAGCACCTTGACAGAGATTGGGAAGCTTGTAAGAGGGAATAAGTTTGGATGGAATGATAAAGAGCTATTTTTATGTGTCGAGTTTCTCATGCATGTGGGGCATCCAGTTTGAAATGTCAAATAGTCAGTTGTTGATGTAGGATAAAAGCTCAAACTAGAGCCTGGGGCTGGATGCATAGCTCCCAGTGCCATCTGAAGAGAGATGATAATTAAACAGGTTGGATCTGCTGAGATCACCAAATAGATGAGTGCAGAGAGAAAAGAGAAGAGGACCCAGCTGAGAGCCTTGAGGGTTACCACTTAGTAAGCACGACATAAATAAAGATCCGATAAAGGGGAATGAGAAGAAATGTAGGGTAGGTAATAGTACCAAATGCTACAGAAAAGGCAAGAAGGATGCAAACTATGAAAAGACCATTAGATTTGGCAATTAAAAGATCTTTGGAGAGAGCATTTTCAGTTGAACGATAAGACCAGAAATCAGATTGTAGAGAGTTTGCAGAGAGAGATGAGGAAGTAATGACACCAAGTGTAGAAAGCTTTTTCAAGGAATTTCGTTGAGCAGGAGGGGAGACATACAATGGGTGGGGATTTTGTGGGGTAGTGGGGTTTTTTTTAAGGGTGGGAGTATTTTGAATATGTTGGTAGGTTGGGAAGAACCAGTAGATAGGGAAAGATTGAAGATTACGAGGAGAGAAGGTATGGTAATGGAGGCCATCTTCTGGAGAAGATGGGAGGAGGTAGGATGGAAGGAAGGTACATAGGAGGTGGTTGACAAGAAGATGGAACTTGGCAAAGAGAAAGACCATGTCTTCATCAGAGACTGGAATAAAAGCAGAGATAGTGGGAAATGATGTTAGAAAGAAGGTGAAATGAGATAAGATGGGTCTGGAGACAAATAGTCTCATTTTTTTTCAGTGAAGTATAAGGTAAGGTCATCAACTGAGAAGGTAGGGATTGGAGTGCAAGGGCTGAGTAGAACCGAAAAGGTGGTGTAGAATAACTGACTGGTGATGAGTTGGGTAGATAATTGATTAGAGAAGAGTAGAAGGATTGCCTTGTTGCACTGAAGTCCCAATTGAAATGGGAAAGTATAAATTTGTAGTGGATTTATTCATGATTTTATGATTTATTTCTACTTTGTTAAGTAGCCCATGAAGCAAAGGAGACAGATGGTGGGAATAATCCCATGATGGGGTTTGTCAAGATATGATTGGTGATAAGACAAGGGAACAAAGGATTTAAAAGTAGAGGATAGAGTACAATTGAACTAGTTAACCAAAAGGGCAATCTTGAGAAAGGGAGACATTGTAACCAGAGCAGGAGTAATGGCCTGGCAAAGTACTGAGAGTTAATGAATAAGCATTGATCAAGTGCCTGTGATGTAGCCAGGTACCAAGCATATACAGAAAAAACCCAAACAGTCCCTTTTCCTTTAGGAAATTATATTTTACCATATTATACCAGACTATACACAGATAAGTAAATGCAAATGAATTGAAATACAGTCTCTTCATTTACAGGTGGATTGTGTTGCAAATAGCAGTCACTTTGTGACTCCTGGTATCTCTGAGTTTACCCAGCACTATTTACTTTCAAACAAGACCCTACCATGTGGGCACTGTCTCTTTCCAGGTCACATTGTACATGTTCATTTTAAAATTTGCTTTGGAAAACTATCAGAAAAGGCTAGGTTTATTTGGGGCTGAAATTGAGACAGCTGAGCAGAAATAAGTTGGTTTTACTCATCTGCATTCTATTCCTTAATGCTAATTGATTTAACTGAGGAACTCATAAGATTTTTGGGCTATTGATATTTCAGCTTAAAACAGGAATTCTTAACCTAGGGACCATGAACTTTAAAAAATTGATAATTGATATTTTAACATAATTGGACTCCTTTGTGATACTATGTATTTTATTTTATGTATTTAAAAACATTATCCTAAGAAGGGGCACACGTCACCAGACTGACAAAAAGATCCATGGCATAAAAAAGGTTAAGATCCCCAGCCAAGCCTAAAGGAGGAAAGAGGTAGAATGGAAGTTCACCTATTAAGACTATTTGGTATTCTTTAATGTTTGCCATAATTGAAATTAAGTTTTTATTAATGTGAACTTTTCTTTTTAATAGAAGCTCAAAAAAGATCCACAGGGAAATTACAGGAACTTGAAGAAGAGATTGATGAGCTCCATGGAGAAAACCCTCTGCTTTCCCAGGTGAAAACAGAGCAAGAGAAAGTAATGCAATTTCTCAGGTAAATTAATTTTCCCTTTGAACACTGAAAGCTCAGAAAGCTCAGATACTAGATGCCCAAGTTTCATGTACCTCTCATTTACTGCAGCTCTCTCTATCTCTGCTGATCACTGCCATCAGAGGAAAAGCTGTGTATCCTTAGGTACAGTTTTCTGTGTACCTCTCTTGGATAGCTTCTTTAATGTGGAACATAAAAACCTGGGGGTTTGCCCTTGTGGTATCATTTTAAGGACATTGGAGTTTTATGATATTGGGCATAGCAGAGGGATTGACATGTGATTTATTGGTATGGGGAGCTCTGGGATGAGGGAATTTTATCCCTGGGAACTGGACAGGGGAATATATTCTCCAAGGAGGAAAGGTTGCTGAGTGACAGAGGCAGGGACAAGGTCTGGGAGTGTGTGGCATAGTGAGAAGTAAAGAGTGTTCATCCTCCTTCTCTCCTCGTAAACAAATATGATAAGTATGAGAGATGTATACAGTACTAGAGAGAACATCCAAAGATGCAGTATCTTCTGGGGTGAGGCATGTTTACCTGGGTTCAGGAAGATGGGAGGAGTGTGAGAACTGTAATATGAAGGGCTGTTGGTTAACAATAGGACAGAGTTCCAAAGAGTGCAATAAAAGGGAAATGCCCTGGCAAATGGGAGTAGTAGGACTAGGGGGATTGGAAACATGGAGATGGGTGGCGCTTGAAAGGGAAGGGACTTTTCAGCTGTGCAGCCTTTGACTCTGAATTCCAGATTCTGAGAAAAGGAGAGAATTTGCCAATCATAGGAAAATAGATTGCCACCTCCTTCCTAGTAGCCATGGCCCCATTTTCTGAGTGTTGGGGTCAGAGAGTGGACTCTGGTCCTCAGATCCTCCATGTAGCCAGATTGCCTAATCTCCAAGAGGCATTCTGATTGGATCTTCACTGATTATGGTCAGCTAAGTCACAATTAACTTACTTGCCCTCCCTAGTCAGCAAGGGCAGTTGTGACCCAAGTATTAGGAGAAATGAGTTATATTGTAAAAGCAAACCATTTATTTTAAATTTAATATAAATCCCTTTCTTGTTTGTGGGTCTACACTCTCCTTTTTTCTGTATTGCCAGTGTAGGCAGCTATATACAATTGATTCTGCTTTTTCTTTCTATAAGGCTGTTTACCGTGATCTTACAAAATAATCAAATTGCATCTTTTTGACCCTCTTTAAGGATTTCCATTTGATAGGCTTACTATTCTGTAATTTCTCTAAAGCAGGTAAAGAAAGCGGAGAGGTGTGGCCCTTTAAACAAAGAGTCGGTTTAGAACTTGGCTCTAGAACTTGGCTCCATTTTCTCAATTACAGAATGTTAAAGCTGGAAGGGTCCTTAGAGATTGTCTGTCCATCTCCCTCTGATAGGACCAGCCACTCAGGAAGCTGGAAGAAACTGTTGGAAGAGATAGTGGCAAGACGGGCTGTGAAGAAAATGCCAGAAACGTTAGTACAAGTATAGGAAACACTACCCTGGTTACTTTTGGGGACACACAGAGATGGAGTGAGCATAATCAGTGTATTAGAAAAAGGGACTGGGAAAAGGCAAATAGAGTCATGAGGAATGAGGGGTTTAGATTTATTCTGAAGGAAACTGATATAACCAAAGCAAAGAAAATTATAGGATCATAAAATAAGACTTTAATATGTTTAGGTCTATTTGATTATTTCATACTAAAAATTATCTCTTTAGGATTTCTTAATCAGATCATTTATGAATTCTTATTAATATACGTAATTCGAAGCTCATTACAAATGGCTTTCTTGAGGATAAGCAACATGGTGTACCAGATAAAGATTTGGCCTCAGAGGGAGAAAGAACTGGGTTCAAGTCCCATTTCTGACGCTGATTGGCTTTCAGATACTGGGCAAGTCTTCTCAGTGGCCCAGGTAACTCTCTAAAATGACAAGTTGCCCAAGAAGGCACAGATCTTTACTGGTGCAAGAAGTTCCCTCTTGGGAGCTATTAAAACTGATGAAATCACAGATCTGTTTTTTTAAAGCTTACTAAAAATTAGGCTTAAGAATAAATGAATAGAATCCTGTCTTTGATTAAATGCTATCAGGAAATCTGAATTATGAGAATTATTACCCATGAATTCAGGTTTTCTCTACTGCAGCTCTCCTGTCCTTGACTGGCCTCGAGCCTGCGGTAGTTGTGACCACTGGGTGGCAGTATTGGGATGGAAGCTTGTAATACTTTCTCAGTTTATCTGGTTTAGAAATATCAACCAACCCCCTCACAACTATAAAAATGAGATTGTTTCCGTCAGCATTTTTGTGTCCTCATATTTCTGTAGATTGACAGAAATGTGCCTAGTATTGCGTAGATTGATATTCCTCTGAAAAGGTGATTTCTTTCTGAGTCTTGAAAATCTGTCTGGGAATGAATTAAAATATTCTTAGGTAAGAACACTTTTGTATGTGGCCAACAAGAAAACGCCATTCACATTTTCAGAGTTGTTTTAGTCTTCCTTTCCAGCTGGTCAGTGACGTATCTGGAGCCCATTCAGATGCATCTTTCTTATCACCCAGCCTAATAGCATGTGACCTCAGAGGTCACTTTCCCTGTTGGTTTGATGGAATGGCATTGAGAAGCGAAATTTTGTCCCTGGAGTGAGGTTGAGTCAGTAAGTGGAAAAGTTCAGTCAGAGGAAATTGAGTGAGTAATAACTCTGGACAAAGAAGAGGGAAACCTGATATTCTTTTCTGATATCTGATAACCATGTGACCTTGAGCAAGTCATAATTTCTTCAAGGTCTCAGTTTCCTCACCTGCAAAATGGATCAGATGATTTCTTGGTGTCCCTTCAAGCTCTAAGATTCTGTAATTTTCTGAGTAAGTGTTTACAAGAGCCGTTTAATTCAGTGTTAATTGATTAACTCTAGGGAACTTTTATATTAAAAAAAGAACCCTAGGGTCTTTTTTAATCATGCTGATTAGACAACAGACTATAAATTCCTTAAAAACTTTTGAGAAAAGAAAGAAAAAGAAACAGCTCAATGATGTCAGAAGGACCACTGATTCAGCAATATAATGCTTTAACTTTTGCGAAGTACTTTACCTACATTGTTGGTGTCTTATGACAATACTCTGAGACAGTTACTACATTATTATTTTCATTTTTTAGACAAGGGAAAAAATCTTTGAGAGGTCAAGTGATTTACCGAAGAATGTGCAGTTTAGTGTCAAGCACTGGGTTTGAACTCAGGTCTCGGATGACTCCAAATCTAGTAGTCTCTTCACTCTACTGCATCCTGGTGATTTTTTACTACAATAATTTTCTGGATAATTGAAATATCCAAGATCTGTTGAAAATGAGATGATGGCATATGTGGATCTATTCTATCTATTTTCCATTCAGTGGTTTCCAAATAAAGTAATTTTAGACGACAGGTAACTTGAGAACTTGTCTATCCTTCCTTGCATAACAATGGTTGGAGAGAGTAGAGAACTTTGTCCTTGGCTATTCAGGGTCTTCTTACAATCATAAGGTATATGGATAGACATATTCATATAGACATGGCGATAGATATAGACATAGATGTAGATATAAATATGTGTCATGAAGCAAATAAACCTATGATGGTTGTGATCCTGAACTTTCCTCTTGACTAGAGCACACATAAATCACTTCAAGGCAGAAAAGACCAAACAGGTGAGCTTTTCAGATGAACATTACAAAGAAGAAAATTCCCTAACACAGCTTACAAAGGCAAACCTGGAAAGATGGATAAAGACATCTAGAATCTCTAAAAAGGATGATGACTCAAAGGAGATGTTGGTGAGTTGGGCTCCATGATGGATGGGGAAAAGCAACAAACAGAATTATCTCTATTACAACCTTCACTTACCATCCATGCACAGTATTGGCACAATTTCTACTCTTTTTTTTTTCAAACTTTGTCTCATTGTGTATTATTACCATGATCCTCCTGAATTAAGTCTGACTCCATCTTTGCTTTCTCCAGTATTTCTCATATTGGAAAATACCTTAGTGACATTTCAACCCTGGATTTCAATGTTTGATTTATTTACTCCTTTGATACAATGATGGATAAGTTCTTTAGTTAGCTCTTACTTAAATTTACTGTATCTGGCCTCCTTAGAGTGGTATAACAGATTGAATAGATATAAACATGAGCCTGTTTGGTAATTTTATTTTGTTAAAATTTTGTGTGTACTTTGTAACACTTAGTTTTATTTTTATCTTTTCATTTCCCCATTCCCCATATTTCATTACTACCATTGCTGACTTATTTTCTATCTTTTCTACTTATTTTCTGGCTTTTCCTCATTCCAACACCAGTTGAGCATGAGAAGAAGGAGTGAGCTCAGTTGGTATAGTCAGGCAAGAAACTCTCTGGGCTGCTTCTGACATATAGCTTATTGATCAACTCTTCCTGACCTGGAGCAACCCCAGCATTCTACCATGAATCAGTCCAGAGACCTTACAGTCACCGTGACAGACAGAGGAGAAAACTCAAGCATCTATCTAATACCTTCTGCTTCTGAGACTGGTCTCTCTGCCTTTTTGCTCACTACTTGCTGTCTATTCACCAATAGGTGAATTTAATTGGTGATGGATAGGCTTGCTTTCTGAAGCATGAGTCTTTCACATACTTCTATTAATTACAGGGGAGTGGGTGGGGGAGTAAAACATTCAATCAGTGTGTGTATATATATATATATATATATATATATATATATATATTCCAGCCTTTCCCCCACAGCCCCACCAGGATGGAAATGTCCTCAGGGAAGTCTCCAGGGAAAGATACACATGCAATTCCTAGTACCATCCTCCACATTTAAGCACATCATATTTTGCTTTGACAGGTCCACTTTTACCATTTCCTAGACTTTTGGGGTCTGTATGTCACTTGATCACTTGAATATCCACTTTTTATTTTATTTTGTTTTGAGTATGAGGATAGTGATTTAGAGATCACAAAACCAAATTAATCCCCCTGACATCTTTGATCTGTGTCTTGTGACCAGATGGAAGCACTGGGACATCAAGATAATTAATGATTTTTCCTATAATAGGGTCTTTGACTCTTCCCATAACAAAGTTTGTTAGTGTCAACTGGCTATTTTAATTCTCAGGCAACCGTAAGAAATGTACCACAATGGAAATTTAAGTGCTTCATAAGTGTATTTAGTGTGCTGCTTACATACTCAATTCATTTCACTACATGCCAAAGTCAATGTCTTCTTTCCTCCTCCTTTAGAAAGGGACCTTAAAAATAAGGCGCTGAGGAGCATGTAGGATCAGAGCCAAAGGGGACATTATTTCTGCTCCATCATTAAATAAATGTGAAATCAGAGGGCCTACTTCCCCCTTCAAGGTCAAATGGCACACCAGGAATTGAACCTGGGTGTCACGGTTCCTAGTACACTCATCCTTCAGCTGTGCCAAGCTGTGGCATGTAGTGCCTGGGATGGCGGAAAGGTGATTTGCTGTTTCTTCCCTGAATAACAAACAGATCTTAAAGAAGCAAATCAATAGGCTACAAGAACAGTTCAAGATAAATGAATCCCGGTGGTCCATGGCTCATGTCAAACTCCAGAACCAGATAGAAGTCCTAATGAAACAGAACCTGGAGCTCCAAGATGAACTTCGAGCTTCAGAGCATCAGTGGCTGGAAATTGCCAAGAAATCAGTGGCTTTACACTCTGCAAGAAGGAAATCAGAATCTCTGGTACCTAAAGATCACATTTTTGTTATTCATAATAAATGAGCATTATTCATCAAGGGGATGACTCTTTTTCCTCAGTGTCTATGGCATCTCCTCACTCTTATCCTATCAGGGACACCTTTAAAACATAGCAAGAGGACTCACCTTGTTGAAATCAACTCCACGTTATCCACAGAAGTGTGAAGGTTAGGATCTCCCAAGTAGCCTCTTGTCAAAAAGCATAATCTATCTACTGGCTTACAACTCTTTCCATTTGTTATTTGACATAATCTATGGAAAGACCACATGTAAATTAAATATAAACTATTTTGTTATAAATCAAATTGGCAGTAGGATGTCATTTTAATTTGGGACAGTAATCATTCATGGTTTTAAGTAAACCATCCTCTTAAAATACTTCAGCCATTATGTATCTCCATGTATGCTGGTGTATATTCAAATAAGTATACACGAAAAGAGGATGAAAAAAATATGGCCACTATTTCTAGGATTGGCTATTCTATTAAGTCAATTATATAACAAATACACAGTCAGTACAGCAAACGCAAGTGACCCTTTGAGTTAATTCATGCAATTTCCAAATGGGCTTAACCTCTAGGGGAATCTGCTCTCCTACATCTTGTTAAGCATAGATTGAAAAAGGAGAGGTGGTGGGGTGGGGTGGGGTGGTGGTAAAGGAATGCTTTGCATTTTACATGGAAAATTCCAATCGTGGCCGTATAGATGAAAAAAAGGAATTTACCTGTTACTGTGCTTGTGACCATCTGAAATCTTTGCCTTGACATTTTGTTTTTGATTAACCATTCCTTAGGCATCAGAACCGATTCTTAGAGGATCTTCAAGCCTGTCAAAGAATGAGGGAACACCAATGCACTCTAGTCCAAAGAGTTGCTTAGGCCTGAGGTTGTCGTCTGAAAAATGTATTTCTCTAGAGGTAATTGCTAATGTTTATGCTCTTGAAAAGGAAATTCATGTGACAAATATAGAAACATGTATTTTTTTTGTTTGTAGATTTTTTTTAGTCTGTCACTTCTTCTGTGTGTCAACTAAACATCCTTCCTTAACTCTTTACTGAAGCAATACTCTCTTAAAACATACTCACGTAAATACCTACCCCCACCCAACCAAATCACCCATATATACAAAACCCCCCCAGAAAACCCCCCAAATCTTGATATTTAATTAGCATTGGCCCACCCTCTCTAAAGATTTGGGTTACAAAGTATATTATCATTGGAATGTATTTTTTTTTTCTGGACCAGACCTGTAATTTCATAGTTATAGGGAATTCTCAATGAGGAGACTCTATCTACCATTGCAGATGGGCAAATGATGTGTAACTTGTAGTCTCAAAAAGTTGCCTGGCACACTGAGAAGTTAAGTTTTTCAGTTTTGGCAGAGGCAGGTTTTGAACGTAAGACTCTTATTTTTAAAAAAATTTTTATTTTTAGGCAATTGGGGTTAAGTGACTTGCCCAGGGTCACACAGCTAGTAAGTGTCAAGTGTTTGTTCTGAGGCTGGATTTGAACTCAGGTACTCTTGACTTCAGGGTCAGTGCTCTATCCACCTAGCTGCCCCCCTACCCCCACCCCAGGACTCTTGTAAAGGCCAGGACATGGAATCAGGAAGACCGAGAATCAAATCCTGCTTCACTATAAATCTTGTATGACTCCAGTTATTTACATGTTGTCTCCCCCAATTAGATTATGAGCTCCTTGAAGATAAAGGCTGTTTTTTGCTTTTCTTTGTATTCCTAGGGCTTAAACATAGTGCCTGGCAAGTAATAATCACTTGATAAATGCTTATTGACTGAATGGTGAGCTTTTCCTCAAAGTAGATATCAGAATCCCTAATTTCAAAGATTATACTGTGTTGTTTTCTTTTTTTCAGTTTTAGAGAGAAGAAGATTTACACTGGGGCCAGGGGTCCAAAGAAAGAGTTGTATTATTCTAGTTGTCACGGTCACTAGCACAATTCACTTATCAATATTATGAGAGGAGGAGGAAGAAATACATGGTTATTGTTAATACAGAAATACATGATTATTTGTTTTTAGCCAGAAAGCAATAAAATGGAAAGAATGGAATCTAAGAAAGCAACATCAAGAGACCAGAGAGGAAAGACTGTTTCCAGAAATCTTCGGGTCAGAAGTCCTCCACCTATTGGAAAGAGATATGATCTGGAAAGAAGAATCCCACCATCTGATCCAGAAATGGTAAAAACAAACAAACAAACAAACAAAAAACAAGCAAGAACAGAAACAAAAACAAAAACAGGCACTTAGAATCACAGACTATTCTAGTAACATTTTAAGTTTCATATTGAACAAAAATTATACTGAGGTCTAACAAGATCACTGTTAATTTACTGTTTTGGAGAAGTACCACAGTTCACTCATAACAATCCATTTTCTATGTTCCTATCTATGGTTCAGTTTTAGTCTTGATCCAACTTTTAAGTGCTAAACAATGAACTAATTACATGTGACATTTTTCATTTCTTGTTTTAATGTACTCTGTTGTGGTCAACTCATTCATACATACATACATACATATATATGTGTATATGTGTGTGTGTGTGTATGTATATATATATATATATATATATATTACCGCATTTTCACATTATCCATCTCCCCCAACCCCCACCTCAGCACCTGGCATAGTGCTGATTACAGAGTAGACACTCAGAAATATGTATTAGCTGGTGGGTTACCGATGACCTCCTCATTGCCCAGTAACCTGTTTCTAGTCCTGATTCTTCTTGCCTTCTCTACAGCATTTACCACCGTTGAATACCCTTTCTTCTTGGATCCTCTCTTTTTTTTGCTCTTTCTCAGTCTCCTTTGTGGTCCCTGACCTGCCGCCTAATTTGGGGCATACCCCAAAGCTCTGAATTAGGTCCTCTTCTTTTCTCCTCTCCAACCTCTCATCAGCCTGGATTATTGGAATAGTCTCCTAATTGGTCTCCCATTCTCTAGTGCTGAACCTGAAGTCAGGAAGATCTGAGTTCAAACTCAGCCTAAGACATACTACAAAGCAAGAATTACAACATAACCTACCTTCCAAGGTTGTTGTGAGGAAAAAATGAGATAACACTTGAAGAGTGTTTTTTAAACCTTGAAGTGCTTCATTATTATTATTATTATTTTTACTCCTGTTCATCTTCTATACAGCCACAATAGAGATTTTCCTGAAGTGCAGATTTTACTCTATGACATTCCACTCACCCTCGCACTCAATCAACTTCTATGGCTCCCTATTACCTCTAGGATTAAATATAAACTCCTCTAGCACTTACAGCCCTTCACAATCTGACCCCATTTCCCCTTTCCAGTCATAGTAACTGTACAGTAACTGCACATAGTAACTGCACCCCCCACCCACCCACCCATGGTCCAAACAAATTGGCCTCCTTGGTGTGTGTATTTAACCTACTATCTCTTTGCCTTTGTGCAGATTCTCTGCCATGCCTGGAATAGACTCTCTTCTCATGAACACTTCTTATATTATCTAGCTCCCCTCAAAGCTTAGCTCAAGTACCATCTCCTACATGAGGTCTTTCTTGATCTTTCAGCTGCTCCCCCTCCTCCTTCTCCTCCAAAATACTTTGTATTTAATTTGCATACATTTTATATGCCTTTAGATATGTGCATGTTTCCATTAATGGAATGTAAGCTTCTCAAGGACAGTAACTATTTCATGTTTCTCTTTGTAAACATTTAATAAATGCCCATTGTTTTATTGATCAGTCTTTACTTGAGCTCTTAGGACAAATATTTAAAATATATTATTTTTGTATTTTAATTATTGCCACATTTCCATGTTATCCCCATGGCACCTGTCACAATACTGATTACAGTGTACCAGCGATGGGGAAACCTGTGGCCTAGGCCTCAAGGCCACATGTGGCCCTCTAGGTCCTCAAGGGCAGCCCTTTGGCTGAATCCAAACTTCACAGAACGAATCCCCTCAATAACAAGATTTGTTCTGTAAAACTTGGACTCAGTCAAAAGGCCACACTCAAGGACTTAAAAGGCCACGTATGGCTTTAAGGCCCCAGGTTCCCCACCGCTGGTGTAGGCCCTGTGTCATGGTAACTCATGAGCTACTATGGATTACTGTAACAATAAATAACTGATAGCTTTTTGGTGAATTAAAAAACAATAATTTTATATCCCTGTAGTGTCTGGTACATGGTAGAAGCTTAAGAAATGTTAGTTGATTAACTGGCTGGTGAATGTCATTTTTAAAAGAAGTCTATCTATTGGCACCTTAAGCCTGATACATATCTATATCTCATATAGTAAACCATATTATCAAGTTCTTTTCAAATTAAAATAAATTTTTATTCTAGAGTTAACAAACACCATGTTAAAAAAGCATTTCCACTTACAAGATTGGAACAGAAAAGTGGATTGTATATGAAATCCATTGCTTTATAATCTCCTTATGTTAAGGATGTTATAAATTCAACATGTAACTTTTAAAGCTGTCCTCCTCATAATAGTTTCTAGTTCACTGGGTATTGCTGCACCTTCAGGTCATCCATCGATTTCCAAGAAATCTGCAAAAAGCAAGTTCGAGAAAATCACCAGTGCCAATTTCCCCACTTGTCATGTATACTGAAGAAAGCTTGGCAGCTTATGAAAATGGTAAGAGCTGTCAGAAGGATGCTTTCTGTCTAGTTTGAGTAACTCCCTAAAATGTGTTTTATTTTTGTTTTGGGGGGCATATCTATCCCATGTGTATGGTCATCTTGACTATTATTTATCATGATCATCTTAGGGAAAATATTCCCTTAATAGCCAGCATTTTTTAAAAAAAGGTCTTTGTTATAACTTTGTGATTGTGATATCATGTGGGAAAATCTCACTGTCTTTTTGTATTCAAACTTATTTCCCTTCTAGACAGGTCTCCATGGACCTCTGGGAATTATGAAGATACACTCTTCCTTCGGGTTCGGAATAATGATCACAGGTCATCTGCCTTCCATCAGAATGGAGACACTCAGGTGGGCAAGGTCAGACTCTCTCCATAAATCTAGGCAGGCACAGTTATATCATGTCAATGCAGAGGTTTGCTCTTGGGCTAGAACACCTCTAAGATTTAAGCTCTAAATAAATGTTTCCAAGATCAGTAGATTTTCTAGGGGTGAGAGGTGAATGCCACCCTCTACATATGCTTTGGAGAACTAAAAACCAAACTAATCAAATTAACCGATAGGCCACTGAATAAATGTTCCCATTACCTTTGGGGCTCAGTCAGATATTCCAGGAATAGGTAAACTTAGTCATTTTCTAATTCTCAATTGTTTGACAATCAAGAAAGAGCTGAAAAAACAGACTACTTACAAATATTAAAATTCGAAGATATTTTTCACCTTTCCCCTCAAGAAGTAGGTACTACGAATGAAACTTTCAATTTATGATTTTAGGTCAAATTTGACAATGAAATCTGTGTAACGGAACGATTCCCAAGTCCCCAAGACTGATCCACTTATTTCAAGCTGTATGTCATATAATCGGAGAGGTGGAAGGAACTTTAGAAATAATGTAGTCCAGTGTCCTATCCAGTGAAGGAAACGGGTCAATGACATGCCTGACAAGCGGATGCTGGCATTTGCTCACACACTTCTTGGGATCATGAATACACTTCTTCATGAGGCTGCACATTTCATTTCTGGAAGACTTTAATTATTAGAAAATATTTCTGTATATTGAATGAAATCTATCTCCATATAACTAAGACCTAGCTCTGAGCTCTGAAAGTACGAAGGTTAAATCTAATTGTTCTTCAATATGATGGCCTTTCAAATATTTGAAGCCTGGTCATACCTCCCATCCTCAGATCTTTTCTTTTTAATTACATGCTTTATTAGAAACAACATTAAACATCATTGCAAATACTTGTCACTGCTTAGTAACTTCATATTTAAATAAACTTGAGAAGCAGCATAGCATAGTGAAAGAGAGCTGGCCTTAGATCTAGGAAGACCTGACACATGTGGCTATGTGACCCAGACAAGTGACTTAACCTCTCAATGCTCTAGGCACCTTGTTAAGATGATCAATTACAGAGACAGTACCGACCTGCCTTGGTAGAGGGATGTTCCTTATCTGGGACTTCCCTATGCCACTGAAATCACAAGTTGAGCCCCTTTCCCTGTCAAATTTAATATACTCATGCAGTGGGAATATATCCTGAAAGTGCTGTCAACACACAAAAAAAGTTTTTTCCAACGATTTTTATAATACTATTTTATGCAGTTGTGAAACAAAATAAAATAAAACCAAAATGTCCTGAATAGAGAAATGAACAATGGGTACATCTTCAGATTTTTCAGTTGTTTTTCCTATTATACAGTTTGGGGACTCTTCACAATCCTGATCACTGTGATGTGGCTGGATTCAGTTTTCAGGTGGTTCGGTATCCAGAGCAACAGTCTAGCTGCAATCTAACAGAGTTTTCAATGATTGTATGGCTTCCCTTGTTTCATGCTTCTGTTAATACATCCTGAAATTTCATTAGCATATTTGGTAGCCATATCACACTGTTGTATCACTTTGATTTATAGTCTAAAAACAACTCCAAAGGCAGACTGTGTTTTTTTCTCCCATGGCAATTTATGTTAAGTTGGGCCCTCTCCTGTCTTTTGCTTGTTGAGTTTTTGAACCCAGGCAAAGGACTTTCTTTACTTTCCATGTGGAATTTTGTCTTCTTAGATTCAGCCCATTATTTCATTCTATTGGGGTCTTTTGCATATGAATTCTGCCATTCCTCCAACTTTATGTCACCTACAAATTTAATAAACATGCTTTCTATGCATTTATTAAAGTCATTAATAAAAATGTTATGAAGGATGGGATCAAGGTTAGAGTCACAGACTCATAGGCTTGGGGAAAGAACTTCAGAGTTGATTGAGTCTAACTTGTACCCAAACAGAAATCTCCACTAAAACATCCCTGAGAAGTGGTCACCTGTCCATGACTTACAGATGTCCAGGGATAGGCAATCCACTAATACTTGAGGCAGCCCTTTCCATTTTTCAATAGCTCTAACCATTAGGAAGATTTTCCTTATATGGAGCTAAAATTTGGTTTTCTGCAACTCCCACCTCTTGCTTCTACTTCTAATCTCCATCAACTGACTGTATAACTTTTCAAATAAGTCTTCCCTTCTCCAGGAGAAATATTCATAGTTCCTTCAGCTTATCCTTATATAGCATAGGTTCTAACCCTCTTGCAATTCTGGTTGGTCCTCCTCTAGATACACTCTAGTTTGTCTGTGTCCTTCCTACCATGCTGTACCTAGAATCCATAGTATTGTAGATGTGGTCTGGCTGGGATGGAGTGCAGTTCTCTTGTTCTGGATATCATGCTCTTATTAATCCATCCCAAGATCTCATGTTTTGTTCATACTGAGTTTGCAATCCCATAAAACCTTCAGATCTTCACACCAACTGTTAATGATCTATGTTGCCCCCCATCTTGTATTTGTGCAAGTATTTTTGAGCCCAAACATAGAACTTGACATTTATTTCTATTAAATTTCATTTATTAGCTTCCATCCCTTATTATAGCATATTGAAATTTTTTATCCTGCCCCTGTCATCTGATATTTCAGTTTTCTCTCTTGGCTTTGTACCATCTACATATTTGATAATCATGCCATCTGTGCTTTCACAAAAGCCACTGATAAAAATGATGACCAGAACAGGGTCCTGGGCAGATCTCTGAGACACTCCCCTGGAGACTTCTCTCCAAACCGACACTGACTCATTATTACTGCTCTGGCTTCAGTCCTTCAACCTGTTCCAAATTCACCCATCTATATATATGCTATATTGTCACCTAGCCAACATCTTTCCATATCCTACCCCAAAGTACTAGGGGCAACGTTGTCAAATAGTTCATTAAAATAAGGGTTCATTTAGTTATGACATTTCTCTGATATATCAGTCTGATAATTTTGTCAAGAAAAAAGGAACAAGGTTAATCTAGAATTGTGTTCTTGATGAGGCTCTGTGTAATCACTGCTTCTGTTTCCAAATCATCCCTTTACTAATATGTTCTAGCATTTTGCCAGCAATTGCAATCAAGCTCACTAGGCCATAATTTCTGGAATCCTGCTCTGTTTTTAAAAATTGGAACAACATTTGCTCATCTTCAGACTTGAAGTATCTATTTTGATTGCTTTTAAAAAAATGACATAGTGTTTTAGTAATCCTTTCTGGGCTGTAGTTTATCCAGGCCTGGTAATTCAACCCCATTAATAATAGATTAATTATGATAATAAGTTGATAGATTAATAATAGTTGATAAAGTCCTCTCTTACCATAGTCCTGGTTATCTTGGCTTTCAGCTGGTTCAGCGGCCAGAGTGCTGGGACTGGAGTCAGGAAAACCCGAGTTCATAAAGCTCCTCAGACAGTTGCTACTTATGTGACTCTGGGCAGCTACTTAACCTCTCTCAGCTGCTCATCTGTGAAGTGAGGGGATTGGGCTGGATAGCCCATAAGGCCTCTTCTAGTTCTGCATCTATGATCCTGTGAACCATTTTTATTTATAACTTACCATTCCATTTTCTGTTTTCTTTAGTAGAGAAAACGACATCAAAATAACTGCTGGATAGCTCTGCTTCCTGCAGCAAGCCAGCAGGGCCCTTCCTCTAGATGGACAGGAATCCAGAAGTCAGCATCGATTTGTATAGTTTTTCAAGGAGATATGAATCCCTTTCATTGTGCAAGGGAGCCGATTCCACTTTTCTACATTTTGTTCACAAGGGTAGTTTTTTTTTCTTTTCAGAAAGACTGTGTTGACAAACAATGCTTCCCCTGATCTACCATCTGATAAGGGAAGGCATTGGGCTTGTGATTCCATGAGAATGGGGAATTCCCTGGTGAGGAAACTCTCTCTGCCAAAGGCAGGTTGGCACCTTCTCTGCAACTTGTAGTCTTGGAAAGTTGCCTAGAGCATCCAGAGGTTAAGTGACTTGCCTGAGGTCACATAGCCAGTATATGTCAGAGTCAGAACTTTAACCCCACATCTTCCTGGTGCTGAAGCTGGCCCTTTATTTCCTCTGCCACACCACCTCTCTAATAGTTCTATCACAGAAGGAAATGAAATTAGTCCAGCATTTCCTTTTCTTCGTGAACAGAATAGGTTGCTTCCTCTTGGTGCTCCAATACCCTTTCTAAGTCCCTCCAAAAAGGCATCTCAAGATTTCATTTACTTATTTCTTTCCTACCACAGGGCATCTACTGCTTCCTACTATAGCGAAGTATCTTCCTCTTAGAAAACTTGAGCAGTCTCTCTCTTATCACATAAAGTGATGAAACAAGAAAAAAGTTTAGACAAGTGGGGTGGTGGGTGAAGAAGAGTGGATCCACAGAGTCAGCACTTACTGAATTCTTGTTCACTGATTGATTGGGTCAGGGTTAGGAGATGGGAGGCTTTCTCCTGGTTCTGCCTTTCACTGGCTGTGTAACTTTGGACCAATCTCATTACCTTTGGGTCTTAGTTTCATTATTAGTGAAACGAGGGCTTTTGATCAAGTGATTTCCAAGCTTTCTTCCAGCTCTAAGAAGATATGACTAATATGTGGAACCAGCAGTTTCATAACATATTCTAAAATTTCACAGACATTAACATGAAGGTTGCTTGTATATAATTTACAAAATTCCCTTCCCCTTTCCTTCTGAATATTGGGACATCGTGTGTCTACCCATCTTTATTTTTCCAGTATGTTTCTCTTCAAATTATTCAAAGATTACCAACAACAGCTCAGAGATAACACCTGAAAGTTATTTAAGCACTATATTGGAAGGATATCGGTGTTTTTTCATTTGTTTGTTTTTTGTTTTGTTTTTGGCAAAGATAGTAGACTGATTTGCCATTTCCTTCTCTAGCTCATTTTAAAGATGAAGAAGCTGAGGCTAACAAGGTTAAGTGACTTTCCCAGGGCCACACAGCTACTAAGTGTCTGAGGTCACACTTGAACTCAGGTCCTCCTGACTCCAGGCCTGGTGCTCTATCCACTGAGGCACCTAACTGTTCCTCAGATTATACACCGATTCCTAAGCATCTGTGACTAGGGTCACACACTTAGTAAGTTCCTGAGGCTGGATTTGAACTCAGGTCCTCCTGACTCCAGTGCGGGTGCTCTATCCACTGCTCCATCTAGCTGCTTTCCCCCTTGCCCCCAACTTCATATACTTTAGAGGAAGGGGTGGAAGGAGGGAGAAAAATTTGGAACTCAATATTCTGTAAAAATGAGTGTTAAAAATTGGCTTTACATATAATTGGAAAAATAAAATGCTAATTTAAAACAAAAAAAAATTAAATCCAAAGCACTGCTAATGTACTTCCTCAGGGTATTGGTGCTCTACAATACATTAAACAATAAATGAATATTAGTTGCCACTCAAATCCTCTCCCTTCCCTAAAAAGCAACAACAGCAAAAACCCCTATGATGGCTTTTGCCTCTGTTATCACTCTCTGTGCCTGTTGAGATACTTGTTTGTCAAGTATTAAAAGGTGATGGGAGGTTGACTGTATTACGTAATAGTAGCTGTCATCGAGGCCCCATCAAGCTATAGCAAATGGCTATAATGTTTCTACAGAGTTATTCTTCCAAGTGGGCAACATCCAGAAAACTATTGCTGTCTATGAAAAATAAGAAAAATGAAGAGGAAATACAAAAAGAAACAAAGCACCCAGATGGCAAGGTAGGAAACTGGAACCACCATTCCTTGTGTGTGTGTGTGTGTGTGTGTTGTCGTTCTACTTCATCCAGGTTGTCATGAGGACAGAAATTCAAGCCAGCAAGTGTCTTCCAGCAGAAAAAAAGGTTCCAGCATCACTGCCTGCCTGCTTGCCGTCTGTTACCAGAAAATCAGGCAGTTTCTTTTTTCAACAGGAAAACATTTTTCTTTTCTTTTTCAATTTACCTTAATCTGCATTACTTGTCTCTAATTCTGCCCTCTCCACCACAATCACCCACATTCTCTACTGATCATTTAGAAGAGGATTCAGTACCTGAAATACAGTCCAATTTAATATTCTTGGATGCTGGAATCTCTGTCTCTGTCTCTGTCTCTGTCTCTCTCTCTCTCTGTCTGTCTCTGTCTCTCTGTCTCTCTGTCTCTCTGTCTCTCTGTCTCTCTCTCTCTCTGTCTCTCCACCCATCTCATTTTTTTCTCCCGACAAAGGGACAGATAGTTCATACAGCAGGAGCAGGGGTATCTACACTGTTCCATATGCACTGACAACTTCAGTGAGGGAACTCACTCTTAGCATAATAATATCTCACATTTCTATAGCTAGCTGTTTGGAGTCTATAACTCTTCTTCTTCACATCTGCCCTGTGAGGGGAAGTAGTAGCTAACATTGTCTAGCCCAGTGTTCATTCTTTCAGTATTCTTGATCTTTAGCCTCATGTCTGAACTTACGACAGGGCACAGATCCAGTACTGGAAGGGACCTTAAAGGTTCAATACAAATGTTGCCCTCCTCTCCCTTCTCATTTTATAGAAGAAGAAGCTGAAGTCCATGAAGGATAAATGACTTGTCCAAGGTCACAAAATGGTGGCAGTGGCACTCAGGTCTTCTGACTCCAAAACTAGTCTTTCCACTGTACCAAGCTTCCCTATAAAGCAGAGGTTCTTAGGTTGTGGTTAATGTACTTATTTTTTTTTTAAATTCTGATAACTGTAATTCGATGTAATTTTAAAAATCTCACAGAGATCATTTTATGCTTTAAAATACTATTCTGAGAAGGGAGTCTTTAGACATCACTAGATTGCCAAAAGGACATAAAAACGGTTAAGAAAGTTTTCTCTAGCTCACTCCTTCCATGCTGTCTCCTGTTCCTGCTCCACCCACTCTCCCCAGTTCCCCTGAGTCACCTCACCTGCTCTTCGCCTCACCTGGTACAACTTACTGCCTGTGGGTCTCCCCCTTTCCCATTGCCTTACATCTCCTAGATCATTTCCCTTTACTCCTCAACCCTGCCCTCACTTCCTCATCATTCCGTAGAAGATGGATTAAGCTGTTTACTTGTTTCAGAGAATCTGAGAAATGGGTCACTACCCTTAAGGATTTTATGCTGCCGTCGTGTGCCGTAAGGGAGAAGTTATTAACGCCTGCTCAGAATCAACAGTGGTTGAGCCCATTCATCTTTGACAGAGATGAAGACTGATAATTAAAGAACAATTCCTCTCGAACAGCACTAAACTAAATGTTGCTTAATGTATTTGGCATTCAGTTGCGGCGGGGACAGACGAGGGGAGGAAGGATTGGTTTGGGTTGTGAAACCATTGGGTTGGCCAGCAGGTGGCACAAGTGGGCAAGTTTTGTTCCAAGACAGGTGGCTGACTTGTGGAGCAACCCGCGAGATTTTTATTTTATTATTTTTCATTTTTTTGACTCCCTGTACATTTTCTCAGTTTATACCAGAATTAACTTCTAAATTGCAACTTAGGGAATCACATGCTATACAGCGGAATTTAATTACCATGGACATGTCTCATCTCTGAGTTGGTCATCATGGGCCCGTGTAGCATGATTGGCATTAACTCTGGGTGGACCCTAGTCTGAGTCAAACTAATGGTCTGTGTGACCTTGGTTGGGCAAATGACCTAACCTCCACGAGTCTCAGTGTCCTCATATGTAAAATAGGAATGCTAGTACTTCGTATTACCTACCCCTGCTGAGCTGTTACAGAGAAAACATTTTGTTGGACTTCCAATAATATATTGGTGTGACTTATTATTATATTCCTAAAATTTGAGGGGACTTGAACTTGTGCATTAGTTCTAGTGACTATAACATTCTTTTCTTACTGTCTAAATTTTTTCTTGATGTGCAAAGTTACCCTTAAGCAAAATCCTACAGTAGGGAATTTGTTGTGATTGCTGGATCAAACTTTGTGACTATCGTCCAGTGTAAATTCCTAGTGTAACTCTAACTGCAGTTGAAGGCCCAGAGCAATGCTTGTATTTGTTTATTGTGATTAGTTTAATTTTGGAACAAAAAAAAGTGATCACTGAAAATGACCCAGTAGCAAAAGAAAAATACAGAAACAGAAAGAAAAGATGTTCAGGGCAATATATGGTGGTGGACCTTCCAACGCCTTAACTTCCCAGTTTATCATTCTCCTTTGACTTCCATTTTGATTCTACATCAGTGACCTGCTAGAATTATTGATCACCTCTTAAACATCTGTTCAATTGGAAACTGCTACAGCTCTAAGATCTTGAACCCCGAAATTCCCCTTTCTGATTGTCATTTTGTGTCCTTGTACAGTGACATGGTATAGTTGCTGGAATGCTGACGTTGGAATCAGGAAGACCTGAGTTCAAATCCTGCCTCTGACTTCCAAGCTGACAAGTACTTTTGGAGGCCTGAAACCTTGTAGAATCATTCTATCAGTTTCTGATCTTTCTATCATATTCTTTCTTCCCACTTTATCTTTCACATGTCTCTACCTTAACGCACCCTACCCCTCTTGCCAATTCTAATCTCTTCCCTTGACACTATTGCCTCAGTTTCCTCCAGGACATTCCTCTATCACGCATTCTTATTCTGTCTCCCTTTCTGTCTCTCTCTCTCTCTTCTCTCTCTCTCTCTCTCTCTCTCTCTCTCTCTCTCTCTCTCTCTCTCTGTGTCTTCTGTTTCTCTCTCTCTTTTTTCTTTCCTTTCTTCCTTCTTTTCTTCCTTCCTTCCTTCCTTGTCTTTCTTTGTCTCTCTCTATCTGTCTCTGTCTTTCTGTCTCTCTTCCCCTCCTCTCTCTCTCTTTCTCTCTACCCCTTCCCTCATTTTCTCCTCTCTTCTCTTTCCCCCTACTTTTCTCTCCCTTCTTTTCCTTCACTCCTTCCTCATCACCTACTATAGACTCTCATATTCTTAAGAAACCTTCCTTTGAATTTGTTTTTCCTTGGGTTATTGTTCAAGGTTTTTCCTCCTTTTCACTGCTAAACCAGGTTCTCTGCCTCCATGTTCAGTGCTCTTTCCAGTAAGTCCCACTGCCCTCACTTAGTCAGGGCCTTTATTTCTGGACGAACACCTCCCAATCCTGGCTGTCTGGCTCTGAGAACAGGAGCTGGTGAAGCTTCTTTCTCCAAGGTTATCTGTCACTCCTTAATTTTCAAATCTAATAGCTTTTTTCAGTCAGTAGATAAAGGGTTTAGAGCTGGAAGGGACCTTGAAGGATCATCTAGTCCAACTCCCTAATTTTATAGATGAGCAAACTAAGTTTAAATTCTTTTTCCCGTGATTTTGCTGAAATATTTGACACTGCAGGCTCCGTCCTTCCTGACTCTGTTTATGCAACACTCCCTTTGCCTGGTATCTTCCTTCTGATCTGAGTATTCCTCTTCCAGATCTATCCCTGGCTCATCTTCCTTCTCCTTTCCACAAGGCACGGATATGCCCAGGACTCTGTCTTCTACCCTCTCCATACTCTACCTTTGCAGCCTTGTCTGCTCTAATGGCATCAGTAGGAATTCAGATGACTCAAAAACACACATATTCACACACATGCACATACCTGTATATACAAATGTACACACACATACATGCACATATTCACATCCTTAATACTTCAAGGACCGGTGATATCATCAGCGTGGGCACTCTTTTTGTTGCCACAAAAATCACAACCTCACTATAACAATAAAGGGTTGACGAGAGTTTCCGTGCCCAGGAAATTCATCGCCCTGTGGCCAACCTGGCGGTGAATCTCCCCAAATTGGTTTGGCTGATCATCAGACAATCGGCTTATCCCTGAAACCATATAATTTGGGGGGACCTACCTACACACACACACACACACACACACACACACACACACACACACATACACACACACACGTTGAGAGGATAGGTATATGTGTATATCTCTTTATATATATGTATATATATATATATGTATATATATATACACATACACATACACACATATCTATACATCTGTATATGACAGTGTTGTATAATAAGTAGAGTGATAAACTTGGAATTAGGAAGACCTGGTTTCAAATCCCATTTTTGACATTTATTACCTGTGTGACCTTTTATGAATTGTTTAAATTACCTCAGCCAGAGGAGACGATTAAGTTCTAGATGTATTACAATCTGCGTGAGAGAAGGGAGTTCCCACACCAAGGACATCATGGGTCCTTGGCATGTATGTGTATCTCCGTGTGTATACACACGTATACATATGCATATATCAAACACATATGTATGTAGACACATATGTTTATCTTAAAGCTGATAGATCCAAAGTTAAGCTTATTATTTTCCCTGTAAAACTTACGCCTCTTCCCAACTTCTCCCTTTCTCTTGATGGTAGCACCAGTTTCCTAGTCACCCAGGTTTGAAACTTCAGTTATCTTTGACTCTCCCTCTCTAGCCCCTCCTTCCCAAACTTCCAAATACTTAAATCCAATTCACTTGTGAGTCATGACATCATCTTCCTGATGTCATGGTCCTCTTCAAGAATGAAGGACAAAACAGCCATTAGTTGCCAAGTCCTGTTAATTCTTCCTTGGAAATAGCTCTTGAATTGCTCATTTTCTCTCCATTCATACTATGGGAAAAGGAAGGAAGGAAGAGAAAATGAACGTTTTTATCGTGTCTGCTCTGTGCCAGGCACTGCGCCACGTGCTTCACAAATACTATTTCAGTTGATCCTCTCAATCTGTGAAATAGGTGTAATTGTAAGTGCCATTTTACATTTGAGGAAATTGAGGCAAACAATCAGAAGTTTTAAGTGACTTGCCAAGGGTCATACAATTAATATTTGATGCCACATTTGAACTCAGGTCCTCCTCACTCTAGACCCAACATTCCATCCACTGCATCACCAGCTTCATCCCATACTTCCACCATCAGATTTCAATTCTTTATTATCTCTTGCCTAAACTATAAAAACAATTAAATGTTTAACTGGTCTTCCTGCCTATAGTTCTATATGAACTATACACACACATATAATTCTAAATGAACTATAATGTAGTTATAGAAAGACACAGTCACCATTTGTTATTTAAGATTTCTCACTGTCTGGCTTCAGCCTGCTCTTCCTACCTCATTTCATGCTACTTCCCACTATATAACACTCGTGTATGTTCTTACCATATTGGACTGTTAGCTATTCCTCTATTTTTTTTTTCTTCTGAAATCTTCTTCTTCCAAGGCTTAGTCACTTCCTCCATGAAGCTTCTCCTGATCCTCCATCTCCACCTATCATGAAATTATCTCTTCACCCAGTTTTTCTTGAAGTACTTTACTTGTATCTCTCCTTTGTCCTTACCATATTCTCCTTTGTATCACATCAAATTATTTGTCGTAACACCCCCCCTCCAATAGCATATAAGCACCTTTAAGTAAGGAATTAAGTTTTTCATCTTTGTATCTCCAGTGATGGGCACAGTGCCTTGAACATTGAGTAGGGTACTTAATAAGTGTTGATTTGGCTTGAATTGGTTCACCAGAATTCAATGATAACGCATTTTGTAGGTTACATAGAAACCAGAGCAGATAAATATATTGTGGGGAAGAAAAACCCCATAAAAAATAAGTCAGACATACTGACCTTTTCTCATTGTGTATCAGCCACATTTAGTGATACATGTTTTGAATTAATGCAGTTAATGAATATGTCCTTGGTGTTACATGTTCATGCTGCTAACACACAGTTACTTAGTTCTGACAGTACTATGCATGTAGTAGGCACTTGGTAAATGTTTGCTGAATAAATAAATGAGTGAGTCAAATCACAAAAGCCTCCTCCTAAACTGGTTTCCATGTGTCAGCTTTCTTTTTTCCTGCAAAGGTGGAATGGAAATTTTCAGATGGACGGAAAACAATCACTTTCCCCAATGGCACCAAGAAGGAGATCAGTGCTGATAAGAAAACAACTATGGTGATGTTTCCAAATGGAGACGTGCAGAAGTTCATGCCTGATCAGAGAGTGGTATGCAAATGTTTTTTTTTTAATAATCTTTTCAAAACTTGGGGGAAAAAAACCCTGTACATAAGTCTAGCTAGGTAACACAGTAGATAAGAGTGCCAGGCCTGAAGTCAGGAAGACTCATCTTCGTGAGTTCAAATTCAACCTTAGACACTAGCTGTGTGACCCTGGGCAAGTCACTTAACCCTGTTTGCCTCAGTTTCCTCGTCTGTAAAATGAACTGAAGAAGGAAGTGGCAAACCCACTCCATTATCTTTGCTAAGAAAACCCCAAATGGGGTCACAAAGAATTGCATATGAATGAAAATGACTGAACAACAGATACATAGTCCAATCCTTTTCTCAAACTTCGGTTTGGTTTCTAACTCTCTTTTTGAATATACCTTTCTTTTTTCTTCTAGTAAGGATGTCCCTGTTTTCCAATCCCTCAGATTTTTTCATTTCTACTTGTTCTATCATTCAGCTGATTGGCTGATCTCTTCCCTTTTCTAGCAGGGAGGGCTAAAGGTTAATGCAAGATTCACCTGGTGCAAGACTTTGGGAATACATACTGTGTTGGAGGGCAACATACTGGATTTGGAGCTAGTGGCAAATGTTGACCTTGCCATTTACTACCTTTGCAATCTTGCTCAGGTCGCCTTTGTGAGTTCCAGTTTCCTCTCTGTACAAGAGTCATTAAAACTTACATTTACTACATAGCTTACTAGGGTATTATAAGGATCAAATGAAATAATCACGGAAAGTATGATGTCAACATGAAGCATTAGATTATTATGATTACTTGTATAGCTTCTGAAATCTAAGCTCTGGCTATTTGGTCTTTCCTTCATGCCACAGGACCAGAAAATGTAGCGGAGCGTTTCTTCCTAGACCAGTGAGACGTGAGCCAAAAACGCTATTTCATTTTGGGAGAGCTTAAAATCACCCTCTCATTTATTTATTTGTTTATTGTGCATCTTGAAGAAGACATTTCCTCTCTCTCTACCTTAGTTGCTTCATCTTAAAATGTGGAGGTTGGGCTATGAAATTACCTCCAAGGCTCCAAGGTCCCTTTCAGATTTAACAATATCTTTGCCTGTACCAGTTTGAAATTGCAGTGGTTGACTGATTACTTCCCTGTTGTCTTTTCCTTTTTTAATGTGATCAATTCATGCTATCCTCTTCGTTTGGTATCTTTTTGAAGAAAACATCTTGTGATTAGTTGAAGTCACTTGTGAGTGCTAGCAAAAACAAAACAAAACTGGAAATGACCGAAAAAGGGGCTATGAGTGACATTGCAGTGAGATTATTTAGTGTTAATGACTTCTCTCTGACATGTTATAGCACTTTTCATCATACAATCATCATATTTCATCATCATCATCATCATCATCAAATAAACTACCTTTGTTAGAAATTCAAATATGAAAGATTCTCTTTGTATCTCTACAATGATCATTTCAATCCCTGGGCATGTGTTGTCTAATTACAATGCAATTAGAATCCTGTTGGCAATGACTTAATAGGAAGAAGAACCATCATTTCTCCCTATTCCAAGTGAAGTTTGTAGGCTGGTTGAACTGGATTTAATTTTCATTTCATTTGTGAATCAGGAAGAGATGCTATGTGTTTGTACTTCTTATTTCTTATTGTACTAGACACAGGGGTGGGGAACCTGCAGCCTGGAGGCCACAAGTGGCCTTCTAGGTCCTCAAGTGCAGTCCTTTGACTGAATCCAAACTTCATAAAAAATCCCCTCAATAAAAGGATTTGTTCTATAAAACTTGGATTCAGTTAAAAAGCCACACCCAAGGACCTACAAGGCCTCCTGTGGCCTCAAGGGGTTCCCCACCCCCTGGTCTAACCTGATGGTTCCTGGCCTTAGGAATCTTGCTCTATCTCTTGGTGCTTTCCTTCAGAAGAGTGGAGCCTGGTTCTGAGAGATGTGCATAAGTTCAGACACATTTTGAAAGAATGTCAGGCCCTGCCTTGGTCTAGTTTGATTTGAGTTGCTCAGGAACCATGAATTTCTGTAGCTTCATCAACTTGACTGGCAAGGTCTGGATTAGTCACTTAAGGGCTATGTTTGGGGCTTCCTTTCCTATCATGCACATCTCTAGGGAATGGTTGTCAAACCTTAGAGGAGCCAGGATCGTGGATAGAGGGATGGAAGGAACCTTGGAGCCACTCAGTCCAATTCATTCACCTTACAGATAAGGAAACTGAGGCTGGCAGAGCTTAAGTCACCTGAGCAGGGTCAAACAGCTGGTAAATATCTGAGGCAGGGTTCAGTCTTGTCACTTTCTGAACTCCATGTCCAGTTTTTCATCCTCATGCCAGCCGAAACATCACCTAGTCCTATCTTCAAATTTTACAGATGAGGAAATTGAGATTGACAAAGCTGCAGCAACTTGTCCATGGTCACACAGCTGGTTACAGGAGGAGCCAGGACTGTCACTCAAGTCTTGTGACTTCCAGTTTATTAGAGGATGCTGCTTCCTCTTGTTAGACCTGGTTGCCTGCGTGGAGATTATAATGGGAACCCATAGGGAAAGCATTTGTCCCTTTGAATGGATGAAGCCCAGAATTAAAACAAACATTCTCAAAACCTTCTTGTAACACGTGTTGTACTTTCAGCTTTATTATTATGCAGATGCTCAAACAACTCACACCACTTATCCTGATGGTCTGGAAGTGCTACAATTTCCTAATAAGCAGATTGGTAAGTGATAGACTGACCCTTGAGGTCAAGGTTACTTTATTAACATATTTTTTTCTTAGATTCTTTTCCCTGTTGGCTTATCCTGAAAATATTCCTTATAGAATGTTTACAGAAAAGGGGAGGAATTGCCATGTGTTTTCTTGTAATGGGAAAAAATAGTCATTTAGCAAAAAAAAAAAAAGCAGTGGGTAAAAAATATATGAATAGTACATGTGGGCATGATAGGGCTGGCTGAGCATATGGACAGCAGAAATGGAGGTATCTAGGCCAGGTCTACAAAATTGTAACGACGGAAATAAATCTGACCTTTATCAACTGAGACAATTAAGGGAAAAAAGTAAGTTTGAGGTCCTCAGTTATTCTAATTGATTTCAAATTTCTTAAATGACTGCTTAGCCCTCTGTTTTACTTTGGATGCACAGAGGTAGACAGATGACAGAGATACTTGAGGAGATGGTCTCATCATGCCATTAACTCTCATGTGACACGGTACACGGGCTCTTCGCCCATAGGCCCAATTTAGAGGCATCAGATGCAAAACACACCAAGGAAATGGTGCTTGCTGCCAGCATTTGCAAATAATATAATTCACTGTACATTTGCAGCAGTGACCTTTAAAGCCATCTTTCTTTACCTCTTAGAAATTCAAAGCCATCTGTAGCACAGGCCCTGGGGCTTAGTCTTCCAAACTCTACTTGCACTGGCCATCTGGCCAACCCCCAGAGCATGGTTGCTACTTTTCACCTCAGAGTTCTAGGAGTAGCCCTAAGGGATTAGGGGAATGTGTTTTCTTAAGAAAGACTCATGAGCTCCCTCCCATCAGTGTGTTTCCCACCTTGTGATTATTATTTGACATCAGTCATCTGGCAGAATTACTTACTTTTTAGAAAGGGGTATTCACTGAAGTGGTATAGTAAGGACAACTGGTACAAAACATTCCCCCCACACCCTCCAAACCCCAAAACTAAAGCACTCTCTCCTACTAGTACATATGAAGTACAAGGCATAAGGCTCAAGCTTAGAAGGTATGAAGAGTCCAAATGCTTTGGTCCTTGAAGTTCAAAGGTGGGAGACAGGAGACTGAGGCCAACCGGAAGGTCAGGTCTGGGGTTCCTTTTCTCCATCCTCCCTTCCTCCAGGGATTTGTTCTTGGACGTTTGGCTGGAATGTTCTCTCCCAACTACCCACTCACTTGAATCCTTGATATCCAAGCAGCTCACTGGTCTTACATAAGCCCCACTGGGCGTTACTAAGTCCCTCAACCATTCTAAACAATGCCAATGTACAGCTCTCCCATCTAGACATTGATTCATTTCACAGAATCATAGATTTAGAACTGGACTGGACTGGAAACTGGGCTGGAGACCATGGAGTCCAAACCCCTCATTTTTACATATGAGGAAAGTGAAAAGGGCAGCTAGGTGGTGCAGTGGATAGAGCACCGGCCCTGGATTCAGGAGCACCTGAGTTCAAATCTGGCCTCGGACACATAACACTTACTAGCTGTGTGACCCTGGGCAAGTCACTTAACCCCATTGCCTAGCCAAAAAAAAAGAAGAGAAAAGGAAAGTGAAGCAGGGGGAAGAGGAAGGGAAGAAGAACAAGGGAAGGGAGCAAGTACTTATTAAGTGCCTACTATGCGCCAGGCACTTTACTGATATTATCTCATTTGATCCTCTCAACAATCCTGGGAGGTAGGTGCTATTATTATCCCCATTTCACAGCTGAGGAAACTGAGGCAAACAGCGGTTAAGTGACTTTTCCAGAGGCACACAGCTAATGTCTGAGGTGAATTTGTACCTTAGGTCTTCTTAACTACCAGTCCACCCAAAGGCCTAGGCATAGAGGGTTTCAGTGACTTGCCCAGAGTTCATTATAATCACCAGTCAGTCATCCACTGGTAGTTTAGCACCTCTATTTGATTTAAGGAATTTTTTTAAAGGACATTAATAGAAAAAAAAATACATTTGAGGTCTTCTTCATTGTATTCTGCTTGTATCTATTCTTTTTATTACATTGAATCTGATGAGGGCATAATCTTACACTGAAGTTTCAATTTTTAAAAAAGCATCTGTTTGGTTCACAGGGGCCACAGTGAAAAAGCCATCTATTTCTTCTTGGTCTAAACATGTCCATGGAAGGCTTACTGCATGCAGAGTGAGGTCAGCACTGGATCATGTGTTAACCTCCTCTGGCTGGGCCATACTTCAGTGTTATGGAGAAAATGGGTGTTTCCAATATAGGAACTCTATGGGGCAATTGTGGCTGATGGGGAATTGATCTATTCTCTCACTACATCTATGACAAAAGTACATTTTCCTTCATGGTAACTTTAGCGCTAAAACGTTGGCTAATTAAAAAACAAAACTATACTGTACAGCTAACTAGTGTGAACACGAGATTTCATTTCTTTGATGCTTTGGTATTCAGTTCCTAGTACTAAAACAAACAAACAAAAAATCTTTAATGCCACTAATAATAATCGCCATTATTATTAAGGCTGACATTTATGTGGCATTTTAAAGTACATAAGGCACTTTCCATAAGTTATTGCAAAGGATCTTTAAGAACAACTGTGAGAGTGGTTCTAAAGGTCACTTTAATCTCTGTTTCATAGGTGAAGGAATGACAAATAGCAGCAGCAGAAGGTGTCAGGTTTTTTTTTATTTGTTTGTTTGTATTTTTGCTTTTTGGTGAGGCATTTGAGGTTAAGTGACTTGCCCAGGGTCACACAGCTAGTAAGTGTTAAGTGTCTGAGGCTGGATTTGAACCCAGAACCTCCTAACTCCAAGGCCAGAGCTCTATTAACTGTGCCACCTAGCTGCCCCAGAAGGTGTCAGTTTTTAATGAGAATAGGAACACGGGAAGAACTTGGCTTAGGGCCTTAGGATGTCCCAAAAGCCTGTGACAAGTTATTTCTGAGGAAAACACTGCTGAAAACAAGAGCAGATCCTGCCTCTTGAATTTCCATTTTCTTTAAGTAAAAATCATAATCACAATCAAAATCATAGTTAACATTTAAATACTGCCTAGCATTATCTCATTGTATCCTCAAAACAGCCCTAGCAGCTAAATACTATCATAACCCCCATTTTACAAATGAGGACACTGAAGTAAGCAGAGGTGGAGTAACTCGCTCAGGGTTATACAGCTTGCATTGTAGATGTTGGAGGCTCCAAACTCTAGGCCCAACTCGCTAGTACCTGCAGAGGTTGAATAAATGCTTGCCAGGGCCTGTAGAAGAGATTCCTGTTTCAGCCTGAGTAGGGCTGGATAACCTCTCAGGCCCCTTCCAGCGTCGAGTTAGCATTCATTTGAATGTGTAAATTCTGTTATGTTTGCTCAAGTATGTATCTTCTTCCTTCCCAGTCACACCTTGGAGACAGAATTTTGTGTTCACCATATGCTTTGCAGTTTGATCGTTATTTACCCATCTGAGGTGTATTGGTTTTGGTCATCCCATTCTTCAAGTGAGAAAACTTAGATTTAAGCAGATACTTTTCTTCTTCATGAAAATCCTAACGCCTCCCTATGATATGGAGGTGACCTCCAGGGTCTTGAAGCCTTTGTTAGGGGTTCCAAACTCTGGCAGGTCCCACCAAACTGGAAATATTTTCAGTGGGTGACCCATCACGAACTGCAGGCCTGTTGTCTAAGCCTAGATAAGTTTGGACAGGTTTGCTTCTGAGCGATTTGTTTTTGTTTTTAGCCAAGGAAGTCCAGCTAGGACCGTCATGGGGTTATGATCTATGTTGGTGGAAGGAGTGTCTGTGCCAACAAAATCACAGATCCTTAAAATGCTGGAAGTTAAAAAAAATGTATAAGACTTGGATAAACTCACACAGTGAAACCCTTTCTTTGTGTGACACGTCCATTGTGTGAATCTCAGCGGCTCTTGGCCCAAGCACGTCTCTTTGTGTTTGAGTCGCCCATCACAACCTGTTGTTAACTCCTCCCTCTGCTTTTCTAAGTTTTTGAAGGCTGTTTATTTATTTATTTTAAAAAAGGACCATTCTGTGTCTGTTGACTTGCTTGTTGCATATAACTGCTAGAAAAAGCAGTAAGAGAAAGCTCTGTGGGTCTAGATTTTATGCTAAATCCATTCTAGCCATTATACTGTATATGCTGTTCAGGTCATCCTCACTGTAAATAATTTGCATGTAAACTTTTTTTTTCTGACATTGGCAAGTCCAGTAATGAAGCCATTCCCATTGTCTTCTTCAAAACAAGAACCATGAACTTGTTTTCTTTGTTTCTGCCCTTCCTGTCATTTCTTTCTCCATCTTTTCCTTAACTTTCAACCTATGTGGCTCTGTGCCTGATTCAACTTTTCACTCTAGAAGTATGTCCCCTATTCAGCGGGCCAAACTCAGAAGAAGGCATGAAAAAACGTCTCAGCCTCCATCAGAGCCAAGGCAAAGGACTCCTTTCAGTGACCTTAAGCAACTCACTGAAAATGAAGGATTGGACTTATTGGCTCACAGCTGCCACATAGGATGATTGATGAATGTTAATTCAGTTCTGAAAATGAAAAGTGCTTAATATACCCGGATTTTCTTTCTGTCACTGAACCTTTTAAACTGTCTGAGTCTTAGCTTATCCAGCTGTTAAACTGTCATCGAATTGCTCCATAGGAATTGTAAGTGGTATTATTGTTCTTTGGTGAATTTTAGAAGGGGAAGTCACGGGGATGCTGAATAGAAAAACAGGGCAGTCAGTTGACATGCCTTTTCTAGAAGCAATGGTAATGCTGATTTGATTATAGCTCCCAGGGCAAGAGGTAAAGGGAATGGTATGCATGCTCAAAGTCAGTTTGGGAAATGGCTGAGGTGGAAGAGCATGCTTATACCTGGAATTGCATGGACATAGGGAAAACCCAGTGTGTAAACTGCACTTGTCTTTCACTTAGAGTCTTAGAGAATCACCTAGGGGGCACTAATAGATTAAATTATTTGACCATGGCAACATTTCCATTATGAGTCAAAGGAAAACCTTGAATGCAGGTCTTCTTGACTCTAAAACCAGTCTTCTACCACTGTGTCACACTGCCTCTATGTCTTGCCCTGATTGAGGTTGGTCATAGGATCATGGATTTAGAATCAGGAGGGACCTCAGAGGACATCTAGTCCAATTTATTTTTGCAGATAAGAAAACTGGGATCCAGAGATAACAAGCAACGCCTCTCTTGTCACATAAGATGTAAGAGACAGATTGCTTAACTCCAAATCCAGCCATCCTTACCTTGTACTATGCTGCTTCCCTATCCTTATCTCTCTCAAGCCTTCTTCAAAACTAAATTTGAGGGGGCAGCTAGGTGGTGTAGTGGATAGAGCACCAGCCCTGAAGTCAGGAGGTCCTGAGTTCAAATCCAGCCTCAGACCAAACACTTGACACTTACTAGTTGTGTGACCCTGGGCAAGTCACTTAACCCCAATTGCCTAAAAAAATATAAATAAAAAATAAAAATAAAAATAAATTTGATCATTTGCCCTAGGTAATTCCTGACATGAGAGATAACAAAGCGGATAGTGGCAATCAATTGACATGTTGTTTCCAGAACCAATACCAGTGTAGATTTGATTACAGTTCACAGAGCAAGAGGTGGAGGGAGTAGTGTCTGTGCCCAGTGGCAGGTTGGAAAATATCTGGGGTGAAGGAACTTCATGGTTTGGGAAGGCCCAGGCAAAAGTTGGCTGCTTATGACTTGTTCAACCTCACACAACTAGTTAGTGGCAGAGATAGGATTTAACCTCCAGTTTCCTCACTTCTAGTGCAGTGCTCAACCTCCCAAACCACACCACTGGTAAGTAGCATGGGGGCTGAGAGAGAAAACTGACCAGGGTAGGCAATGAAGGTGTTACAGAGAAGTTGAATTGAACCAGAACCTAATGGACAAATAGGATTTTAGCAGGAGAAAAGTTAGGACATTTCAGATGAGTATAAAATATAAGTAGAGGAAGAAGGTCTGGTGTTATGGAAAGATGTTGGATCTGAAAGTGGAAGACTAGCTTTGCCACCTGTATCATTTGAAAGAAGTCATTTAGCTTTTTTGAACTTCAGTTTCCCCACCTGTCACATGAGGAGGTTGGAGTGGATAATCCTTCAGGTGGACTTCTGATGATACAGGAGAGTTTGAGGTGTGATTTGAGGTGGGTAAGTATTTAATTTGGCAGGACTGGCAGGTTGCCTATAGAGATAAGGAGAGGCAGAGTGGGAGTGGAGACCAAAATTAAAAAAAAATAGGCTAGATCTGAATTTTGGAGGAATTTGAAAGCCACATGTAAGAATTTGGGCTGCATCATATAGGCATTTGGAATTGATTAGAGATTTTTAAGTTGGAGTGGCTTCAAGAGTGTAAATGTACTATGTATAACGGGCATCACATTGCTTGCCTTCTCAATAGGGGAGAGAGAGAGACAATGTGGAACTCAAAATTTTAAAAATGAATATTTATAAAAAAAATTAAAAAAGGGTATAAATTTAGGATATGTCACATGCAGGAATTCCTGGCTAATTACATTGCATCAGTACAAGCATGCTCTTTAATTCCAAAGTGTTTTTAAAAATGGTAAATTTTGTGCTTTTCAAGATACATGCCCTTCAACTTTTTCTTAGAGGCAATAAAACCATAAATCAATCCCTCTGTTCCTGACAATGTCCTAAAAAGCACAATTCATGAAATTGCTCAAGAAAAAATAAAGATTGTTTCTAAATAGACTCAATATAATATACTCACACTGTTTAAAAAACTGCTCCCTATAGAAAAACACCATCCCAATGGCACTAAGGAGATTGTGTTTCCAGATGGGACAGTGAAACACCTTGGTGTCAGCCATGAGAAGACTGTGTTCCCCGATGGCACATTGGTGAGAGTAGAAAGGTTAGCATTGCGAGTTTATGGAAACCTAAGGCATCTTTTCTTCCCCCCTGTTTTCCTTCTACTCTTGGTATTGGTGGAAAATTCAAATTATCAAGCATTCAAAAAGCATTTATCAAGTGCTTACTATGTACCAGGCACTGTATATGGTGAGGATACAAAAACAGATTAACAGTCCCTGCCTTCAGGTAGCATACATTCTAATGAGGGAGAAAGAATGTAAATTGCTAAGGATGAGATATATACTGGAGAAGGAAATGGCAAGCCACTCTAGTATCCTTGCCAAGAAAACTCCTTGGACAAATTGGTCCATGGGGTCACAAAGAGTCGAACACGACTGAGTGACTGAACAACGACAGGAATAGGTGAAAATGTCTCCCAACGGGGTGTGTGTGTGGGGGGGGGACTGGGGAAAAGTCTCTTATAGAAGACAAGATTTGAGCTGAGATTTGAAGGAAGCCAGGAAAACTAAGGGGCCAAGGTAAAGAAGTCGAACATTTCAGGTGAAGAAAGGATCGTTCTTCATGGCTGTAACCAGGACTATCCATTGTGCAGGGGATCAAGACAAGGCTGTCATTGACCAGTTCCTGTTACCTGGCTAAGAGCAAAGGTAGAGAAAAAGTAACATGAATTCTGGAGGATTTCTTTTATTCTGTCATTCATGGGCTGTTCTAGACCATGTTTAGGTCACTCAACATCCATTTAGAAAATGGGTGTTAAATAAATATTACCTAACATTTATTTCATTGTCAACTGTCATGTTTAAAGTTTCTTAAATGAAAAGTAAAGACAGATTTTAAACCATTATCTACTGAAGCATGTCTGTGAAAATCTCTGATCAGTTTTGGTTAAATTCATTAAATGTGATTAATAACTATAATTAATTATATAAATGTATTGTTGTTGTTAAGTTGTTGTTCAGTTGTGTCTGACTCTTCATGACCCCATTTGTGGTTTTCTTGGCAAAGATACTGGAGTGGTTTGCCATTTCTTTCTCTAGATTATTTTACAGATGAGGAAACTGAGCAAATAGGGTGAAGTAACTTGCCCAAGGTCACACAGTTAGTAAGTATCTGAGGCCTCATTTGAACTTAGGAAGATGAGTCTTCCTGACTCCAGGCTAAGCACTATCCACTGTACCATCTAGCTGCCCCATTTATATAGATTGTATACCTATAATAAATATGGTTAATTAAAAAAAATATACAGTGAAAGAATTGACCATTTTCAATTTGATAATGTGGCAACCTCTAAAACCACATGATTCTGTGAGCTCCTAGGAACACCTAAGATACTGTATGAGGAAAACAGGTCTATGTAGCAGGAATATCTCCCACCTATTTCCATATAGCTTTAGTATTGGCTACTATAGCAAGCATTTTATAAGACTAATTTTCTCCCATTAGGAATGGAGATAAAACCATTATATTCAGTAATGGGCAGAAGGAGATCCATACTTCACAATTCAAGAGGAGGGAATTCCCTGATGGTACCATCAAGACTGTATATAACACTGGCCATCAGGAAACGAAGTATATCTCGGGCAGGGTTCGAATCAAAGATGAAACGGGAAAGACCATCCTTGACAAGAAGTGATTTGCCTCTTCTGCATGTAAAATTATGTAGGCAATTCAGATGACTTTTTATTCAGATTTTCTTTGATTTTTTTTAGCCGTCTGACCAGAAAGGAGACATAGATAAGGGCCTACCAGAAGAGGGGCATGAGAGATCTCAAACCCAATTAATTATGTAGAAATTTTTAAAAGAAAAATTATTCCCTTAGTTCTCAATTTGGAAGGAAAAAATGTGGTTGTAATAACACTCTTGAGCCAATTTTTTGTTCCCAAGGCAATCGCTCCTGGTCCACTCTAGGTCATTTATTCTTTAGTGACCAGATGTGCCTGCTGTTGGAACACCCTGCTGAGCTCCCTTCTTCTGCCATGCTTTATTTGGACTCACCACTTCTTTTCACTTTGTTCATTCATGTCTAAACAGCAATACCTGTCTTATTTCCAGAGCTACATTTTTGTACTTGGCTCCAAACACGGTGAACACAGTGAAGGGGCTTAAAACAGTCTTGTAGCAACACCTGTCAGAAGCTCCAGACTCAACCACCTCTCACATTTCACCTTCAATTCCCTGGCAGCCACTTACCCTCCTAGCAACTTCATTCTTAATCCCAAGTGTGAAAATGATTGCAGGATTTTTACTAACCTTACAATTTTGTTTCCATTTTAAGCAACCCATAGAATGAAGAAATAAGCTACTTTTTTTTCTGAAACAATTAGAGCCCAGAAAATGTAGGAAATGAATAACTTCTTGTAAATGTTATCACCGATGACAGGATGTGGCCAGACGTGAGTTGCTGAATATGCACTCTTGTATATTTTTATGTGAAACGAGATGTGATAATGTATTTTCATGCCGATAGTTATCTTGGCCCTGGGTGTATATTGTACCCGTACTGCTGTGTTCTTTAAGATACTCTCGTATTGTTTAAAGAAACTAAAAATCAATGTTCTGTCTTGTTATGAGAAATAGAATTTTTTTTTATTGGTGCAAGGTTACTGCCATGTTCTTGTAGGTGGATGCTGAGAGTTCATTTGTTAGAAATAAAAGGCACAAATAATTCTAAAAACCTTTTTGCATTTGGACTGGGATAATACTTTGATTAGTCAGAAATCAGTTCATTTTTCAAATTGTCCTTCAGAAAGGCACAAGGGAATTGCGTGAATCACCTGATTTCTAATTGTCTTGCAGCATGCTAAGAGTTGAAAATCCAAGTGTGGTTTAATCAGAAAGCCACATTCAACCCTCATGGAATCTGCCTGAGTGACAGGGCTCATCAAATATGATCTCCACCACCCTGGAGAATGTATAAAACCTCTCCTGGAGATGAAAACGGCCCAATAGAAGCGTTCTGTTTTCAAATGTGATATGCTGGCTAAAAATCTTTAAAAAAAATTATAAAAGCTTCCATTTCTTTAGTATCATGATGAATACTTGGTTTTAGCTCACATATGTAAAAATGAGCTTGGAAGGGGTCTCTGTGCATATATGCTGATCAACTGTAGACTATGAGATTTTGAATCATCAGAAGAGAGCCATTACATTAATTACAGACAAAAATTATCCTGGTTTGGAGAGAGAAATAATTACATATTCACCAATAAAGAGACATTGATAACCTAGGGGAGGGAGCAATGGACTTGGAGGAGACCTTGGCAAAAGTTTTATCTTGACCAAACCCAGCTAACTGTACAATCTTGGGAAAATTTCTTACCTGCTCTATACTTCACTTCCCCTGTTTTTAAAAGACTGAGATCATATCTGTTCCACAGGGATAAAGGGAGGATGAATGGTAGCTTAGTGAACACTTTTTGAAGAAAAGGCATCACATGTAATCTAGTTATGTATTTTATTTCGTCCTGAAAGGATGAAAAAGCTGCAGTCAACCCTAAGAGTGGTTTCTATGAAAAAACCAAACCAAACAAAACTTGTAGCTCCCCCTTGCCCATATCTTTGACATGGCACTTCACTCAAGCAAAACTTACCACGTAGCCTGTAAAGAGGGTATTGGGGACCATACAATATCAAGGAGCAGCAACCTTCCATTGCAAACAGATTTGCCACCTGTTTTCATTCAGTTCAATTCAATGAACATTAATTAAGCACCATATACATGTATATATGTATAGATATGTGTATATCTATACACATATATACACATACACACACACACGTGTGTGTGTGTGTGTGTGTGTTTGGCACTGTGCTTGGCTATGGGGAAGCAAAGACAAAATTGAAACAGTCCCTGCCCTCAAGGAACTTATATTCTATTGGAGGGGCACACACAGATAAGCGAAAGCAAAATATATAAGCAAAATAAATATGAAGTATTTGGGCAGGCAAAATATAAGTAAAGTCAGGGAAGGTATTTGTAAGAGGTGGTCCTCAAGGTGAGTCTTGAATTGAGAAAAAACCAGAGCCTCCAAGATGTGGAGCTGAAGGAGAACATTCCAGGTATGGGTAGTTTGCACTACAAAAAAAGAGTGAGGAGTGTCACAAATCGGGAACAGTTAGATTGCCAGTTCTAGCACTTTCTTGCAGTGTAAGTTCAGATCCAGTGCAGAAGCCAGGACAGTGACACTGAGAGGAAGGATAAAGATGTTCTCCCTTCCTCAGATGGAAGATCTCCAATCTCCTCACGAATTGGTTCCAACCTTTTTTCCTCTGGTGTTATTTTTCACTACTACTCTTTAAAAGCCTATTGTGCAGTCAAAGGGTTATACTCCTATCCATTGAAGATTCTTACATATTTTCTCCTTTGCCTGGAATCCCCTTCCCCAACCTCCACCTGGCAGAATCCCAAACCTTTCCAAGAATCAGTCTAATTGCTACTCTCTCAATGAAGTTCTCCTTTCTCACCCCACTCCTCCTTTAATCCCTCCCCATCAAGTGAAAGTGGTTCCCCCACTCGTTGAATTTCTAATATAGTAGTAAGACTTTCCTAGTCACTGAATCATTCTAATTTGTATTATAGCATTTAAGCACGAGTCTTATCTTTTCCACAGACCATAGGCATTGTGAAGGTATGAACCAACTTTGTCCTTCATCTTTGTAGCCTTTCACACACCCAACATTACATTAACAGATTCAGCAAATGTTTTTTGAATAAACAAATGAGTGAGTGAAGGAATAAGGTCAAAGATAATTTATGATAACCAGGATTGTCCTGAGGCAAAATTGTGAAGCAGATGAAGTCTCTACCCTTCTCTCTAACTTGTATGACATTCTCTTCCCCTTTCTTGGCTGTCTACTCTCTTGTTCCACAATCAAAAACCATCATTGTCTTCATTCCCATTAAATTATAAATAACAGATAACAGATCTTGACATTAATGACATTTTGAGGTTGAAATATTAAGTTAAATGAAAGAAGTTCTAATGGTGGACTTTCAAACATCAAGTAGCATTGATATTCTCCTGCCATACATGAAATCATATTAGCAGGTAGTCAGCTAGTCCCCCTACCCAAAAGCAGCCCCGTGACATCTAAAGGGGGTATGTGCCTCAGTCTCCCGGCATTTTTATTTACCTACCAGTATATTTGTAATGAGATTTATTACCTAAAAAAATTCCTGAAATTTCCAGGGTAACATAAGACCTGGTTTAAGACTGGGTTCAGCTGTGTGACCCTGGGCAATTCCTTGAACATTTCTGTGCCTCATTTTTTTCATCTGAAAAAGGAGGGGCTAGAATTAATGTTTTCTACATCCCTTTCCCATTATAATCTATGATATCGTATATCAATGTTGGAATACTTTTAAGTGGAGTTCTCATGGTAAGTTCCAAGGGGTAACCATTTTGAGTTTTGATAACAAAAATAGTTAGGTATGCTCTAGGCATTTTTAAATGGTTTAGACACTTAAAAATCCCTTTCCATATTGTCTTGGACAGAAGAGTATAAGCAAATATAAAGAAATCCAATTGATATGAGCATAAAAATACATTTAAATGACTCAATGAAAAATAAAATAGGCATTTTGTAAATATTTGTTGAATTTAATCTTCATATTGAAGATTAACAATGATTACTTTCTTCAGGGTGAACCTGAAAAGAATAGTGCATGCCTGGTGGTCTTGGAATACTGTACACATAGGAGAATTGTTCTTAAGATATTTGAACAGCAGTTTAAAGAAAAGCTCCTAAGGAACAGGGATAATTAGGCATTGAATGTGATAAACCAGCCACCTCTAATAAGTACCCTCCCCTCCCCCAAAAAAGTAGGGGAAATCCTCTCAGCCAAAGTCATAGTACAGGTTTCCCATTCTTTCTGGTTCCTCTGGCAATATACCTTCTACTTCAAAACTATCAACTTCAAAAGAATTTAACATCAAAGAAAACTTAATTCCCATGTGGTAATATGCTTCCTTTAAAATAACCCTAAAAGCCCTGTCCTTCTTATTGGTAAGTCTAAATGTTCCATAAAACAACTCTCTGAGAGGAATAATTTAAGCTGAAATTATGCCATGCAATAGTGAGATTTTATTGTTTTAAAAAAGCTTGTATTTGCTTTTCTTATTTAAGTGAGCAAGTTTAACCTTTCTTGGAGATTATATCTAGTTTTTCAAAGATAAAGTACATTTCCAAGTCATTGAAGACCCTTTCACCAGATTCCAAAAGAGTGGAGTATTCTGTAATAATTACATCAGTTAATAGACTCAGACTAGAATAAGAGATATGCACCACACTGTCTAAAGCACCACCACTCATTTGCCCACCTCCTCAAATTCTCCTTCTGAAATAGAAACCAAGAGAGCTCAGGTGATCACGATTCACAGGCATTGGGCAGAATGGAATCGAATTTTCTAGCCTTTAATCATTGTTCACTCCATACAGATATATACTAAGGATGGAGTTTTAGCAGCCAGGTCACATCTGTATTCCCATGCATAATCTTTCTCATCTCACACCACTCAGGGCACTACCAAAAGGCATCACAGCTACTCAGTTACATTCCCACTTACTTACCAAGACCCAAACACATTATGGTAGCTCTCAAACTCCGTATTCATTCATACTTCTTCCACTGACTTTCACATCTCATGCAAAGGAGAACATACCCACTACAACCAAGTAATGATTGAACTCAGCTTTGAATGGAACTAAGAAATAAGGGATTCAATGAGTCTGAGGTGAGGAGGGGAACATTCCAGGCCTGGAGATACCTTGGGCTAAGGCACAGAGCGGGGACATAGATAGTTGTGAAGAAGGAACAGCAAGAAGTATAGTTTGGCTGGACCATATATAGTATGGAAAGTGGAGTGATATATAATAATATATAATAAGTGGTCATTTAGACTTTACTTGAAGACTGCTAGTAAGGAAAACCCCAATTCCTTTTAAGGCAGCCTATTCCACTTTTGAATAGCACAGATAATTAAAAAGCGTTTCCTTGAATCCTAAATTTGCCTCTTCGAAATCTCCACCTGTTGTCGAACCCCACAGAATCCCAGTTTGAAACAGAATCAGCTCTAAGAAAGAGACAAATGAAACTGGGGTGCATGTGTCCATGGTTTAATTTCTCTCAAGCTGGCTTGACAACTGGCTCGAATTGGGATTTTGGGGGGTATGGGTTATATGCCCTTTGAAGAGTAGATGTTTCCAAGGGATGCCAATCAACTCTGGGAGGTGGACTGTATTAAAATGAGGGTCTTTCAGTATGTGACCAGTTCACTCAATCCTAGTCAAAGAGACATCAATTTCCATATCACCTATCTTCACAATTGGGAGGAATCCACATTCTCCCAGACCTGTCTAGGCAACATCATGAGCAGGAATAGACCCATTTAGATTACATTTTGATGTCCTTCTGAAGAACGACTGAATGTAGAAAAAAAAGGGGGATGGGGAAGCTCTGAGTTTCCAAGATAATGATTAGTAAGAAAAATCAGTTTTCACACCGTTGTTCTTAATTCTGCTACCTGGGTCCAAATGCAAGAAATATAACCCTTCTTTTATCTAACAGTCCTTCACCAACCTGAAAATGATTGTTATGACCCATCAAAGTTTTCTCCAAGTTGAATATCCCTTGTTCTTTCACTTGATTCATATATGGCAAGAATTTGAGGCCTTTCACTATCCTTGTCCCATATGTCTGAACCCTACCAGGCATAATGCTTATATGTTCTGACAAGTCCTGGATGCTTGGTATTTTGTTGTCAAGTCTAACATTTTCTTACCTTTTTGAATGCCATATCACACTTTTGACTGAAAGGTGACTTGCTTAGTAAAATCAATTACCAGATTTCTTCCATGAAAATTTTTGTCAATTCATAAAGCTCCCATATTGTTCTGGTGGAAAGGCTCTCCTTTTAATCCAAGTGTAAAGCTTTATATTTATCAATCATTTAGTGTTATTAGATTCAGCATAATTTCTGAGGTTGTTGAGATTTTTCTGGATCCTGTCATCAATACACGATGTCTCCCAGCTATTTGTCACTCATAAATTTGTAGAGGCCATTTGTGTCTTTACCAGATTATTGAAAAACATATTAAATGACACAGAATCAAGCCCAGATTATTGGGGTAGTACCAGTCCCTATTAATGGTTATTGTTTGGGTCCACCTAGTTAACTAGTTCCAAATTGCACTACAGCCCTAACTCATTATAATTCCTAATTGGTAATAAATATCTCCTTTATATTCTTTGTAATATACCTCTACTATCTAAAAAGAACAGCATGACAAATTATTCAATGCTTTGCTGAAATCTATGGAGACTCTTAGCTATAGCCTTCTTTCATCTACTGGATTTACCTTGTCCAAAAAGGAGAGGCTAGCTCTTGGTTCTTTATGATCATTGCTAGATAATGGAGTTGAAGATAATGGAGTGTGGTCTTGGGAGAGATGGGTAGAAATTTAATTCTTAAAAGTTTTGTATCCCTTGGGCTGATTACTGCTGCTGAATGATTCTGGCTGCCTTTGACTCCTTTGAAGTCTTCTCTCCAGAACTCTGCGATATATATTAGAATCTCTCTCTCTCTCTCTCTCTCTCTCTCTCTCTCTCTCTCTCTCTCTCTCTCTCTCTCTCTCTTCTCTCTCCAATTCTTCCTCCTTTCTTCCTCTCTTTGTCTCTGTCTCTTCTCTCTCCTTTTCCCATTCTCTTTCCTCCTTTCTCCCTTCCCTCTTCCCCTCCTACTCTATTTCTGTCACTTCCTCTTCCTCTCCCTCCCTCCCTCTCTTTTCTGTTTCTCTATCTCTCTGTCACCCCCCCACACGCATCTGATGGCACCTGTGAATACAGATCACCATTCCTTAAAGAATGAAAAGATGTTTCCTTCTCAGATGTTCCAATTCCACTCCTCAGTTTTCCTCTATGTGTATCAGCCACGATTCAGATCACCATTCAAGTTCTACTCTTGTGGCTCATTGCACCAGGGAGGAGATCCAGGGGTCTGGAAAGCTACGCTAGGGAAAGGCAAAGTCTGGCTAATCCTACAGTAGACTGCAAAGATTTTGCATATGGGCCCAGGCAGAGACTGTATGTCTATGGCCTGAGGACAAATCCAGGTAAATTTTGAGAGGTCCATCAGCAGGGTGACTTCAAGACCATTTTGGTTTTTGACCACTGCAACTGTCACAGACCATCTGCTAAGTTCCAGAGGAATTATGGTCTGCATTAGTTGACAAAATTATATATTCTTTCTTTTATATACTCTGCAACATGTCTAGTTTCTATCACCTCAGACTTGAAAAGATGCTGCCTTCAGCTTCTTCACAACCTTTTGGGTCAAACTATCTATTGTTTGGCCACTAAAAGTCTTGAGGGCCCTTTGTTTCCATTGCTGCTCATTTGACTTCCAAGGCTTTGCATGCACAGTTTCCTCACCACATCTTGGAATTTGGAGAGATTCAAATTATTGTGTTTTTAAGTAAGTACAATCTCCTTTTCCCCAGGTTCTTGTTTCTGTCCATCATCATGGTCTTTTTCTCTCTCATCCATTTTGTTCCATTTTTGGGCCCCAAATTATTTTATTCATGGCTGGTACACATGAAATAGTTTTAGTGCTATGCCTATATCAAGAGAAAGAAAAGCCCTGATTTTAATGAAACTAAACCTTAGATCTACAACTAGACTTTGAAAGCCCTCAAATGCTCAAAAAACCCTTCTTTGGTCTCCATAAAAGTAGTCATTTATCACTTTACCCTATTTCAACTGAATTTGTTTTTGTCTAATACCAGTATATTCAAGAGAAATAATTTATTATATTTCATTCCTTTTTTGTTGTTTGGTTACTAACATTGCAATCCTTCAATATTTCAATTTAACTTGCTGGTGATAAGCCTCTGGTTACTTGGCTAGATTGGTCCACCAACAGCATATACAGACTGCCACTAGGGCCATATGTGAAGGCTTTCCAGTGTAGTAGAACTATGAAAGTTTGTCCTCCCCTGGAAAAGCATTAGAAATACTAGATGGCATTTCGATGGTGAGATGAGCCATTGTAATGAGACTTAGTGGAAGCTATCCTGTCCTAACTCTCCTAATAGGCTATAAGTCCTTTCAAGAGAGGGACCTTGTCTTATTCATCTTTGCAGTCCCTCAGTGCTTAGCATAATGCCTTTCATATGAGAGACCCATAAATAATAGTTAAATCAAATTTAGATCAATTTTATAACATACATTGACATCCACCATCCTCTCAACAGAAGTGGAAAATTTATATGTTAGGCCAGAAGCAAGCATACCATATTTCATGAAACTTCATAATCTCATGAAGTATGAAAATACCTATAACATGTGATAATATCCAGGGGAGGCTAAACTTGAATAGAAGAAAAATCATAGCTTATCCATAAGTTTTAGCCACTAATGATGCTTGAATTTTATTAGGCCCAATTAAGCATGTTCTGGTAAATATTTAACCACTAGCAAAATATGTGCAGGACAGATAGACTTTTAAGCTTAATCTTCATTATTAATGTTTTCCCCATGATTTTCTTAAGTCTAGACAATCAACAAAAAATAAAGCCCTAATTGGTAACAAATTGTTTTTGATCATTCCTTTTCTCTCACCCTGCACTTAAATCCTATCAATCCTGACATTTTAGCCTTCAGTAAAATTATCTCCTCCTTCCCTGTTCCAGCCTATCTGGCCAGAAACTCTGAGGGTCTTCCCTTCCCAGAGTGGTTCTTTTGTAAAGGCAAACTAGGCCTCCTTTTGCTTCAATTGTTACCTAGCCTTCAATTACTGATTGGGTGTTGCCTCAGACAAACAGAGACCTGGGAAAGACCTTATCTTAAAAAGGCCAAGGTCTCCCACTATGTCTGGGGCCATTTCCAGTTGTCCAACCTATGTCTTGCTACTGGATTCTGATGACTCTGGAGGACAGGGTGAGGCTGATGACTTTGCACAGCCCTGCCTCACTTAAATCCAATTCACTTGCAAGTCAAGATATCCTCCTCATGCCATCAGTTCTTTTCAAGAACGAAGGAAAAACAACCACCTCATCCTTCCCATTCCAAGTGCCACCATTCTATTTCAGCCATTTATTGCCTGTCATCACAAATCCATTTCACCTCCTGCTGCCTCATTTATCTTCCTACAAAATAGTTATAACCATGTCACCCTTACATAAATCCTTTTCAATGGTTCTTCATTACCTATTGAACAAAGCTTGGTGTTCACAACCCTCTAAGATACACCTTGATTTACATGTCCAGTCTTTCACACCTCTCCATTTCCCATACCCAATTCTGTGACGAACTAACTACTCTCTAGTCCCTGAGCATTTCCCATGACATCCCAGTTCTATGCATGAAACCCTTTTCCTATCCTGAAGTTTCACCTGTTCAATTTTTGCTTATCCTTCAAGGCCCAGTTCAAATGCTATCTCTTTCACAAACACTTTCTTTCATTTCTGGCCAGGATGATTATGTGTTCTTGAATTCACTTGATAGTTTGGTAAAAACCCTGGTTCAAATTCTGCCTTTTACTATTTATTTGTGTGACTTTGGGTCAACCATGTCCCCTTCCATTTCTTCATTTGTAAAATCAGAAGGTTGAACCAGGTGATCTTCAAGGTGCCTTCCAGCTCTAAACCCATCATCCTTGATCCTATGATCTCTTATTTTCAACTTGTATAACTTGCTGAATTATAGCTCTGTGCTTGTCTTATGTCCCATATTAGAATGTCCATTCTGTAATGGTAGAAGCCATGACTTATCTCTTTTAGTCTTCCCCACAAGGCCCAGCACAGTGCTACTAATGGTAGATTTTAAATAAATATTGGTTGAATAGGTTAATGCATAAATGGTTTTTGTTCCTAAATGAGATGTAATAGGATAGAATGGAAAATGATTTGTCTGCTTCTTATCTTTGGTAAGGCTGGCAACAGAGAATCATTTGGTGTCCTCTTTTCCTTAATTTTACACTAATTATTTGTTTAGAGAAAAACTTTGACCTGTTATAGGATGTTAGAGGTGGAAGAAACCTTTGAAGTCAGTGAATCCAGTTCCCTCATTTTTTAGATGAGGAAATTGAGGGCACAAAAGGAGAAATGACTTACCCAACATCACAATGTAATAGTAGTATTGGGTATTCATTAGGAAGCATTATTATGAAGAAATTGATCATTAATATACTCCCATGAAAAGATCTGCTGAAATATGATTTGTATAGAATGTTTACTCCTGACCTTTCAGTCTTCTTCCCCTCTTCTAAGATCCTTTAACATGTTAGCTTAATTAGTAATCAATCATTTTTATTTAAAAAAAAAATACATAGGTTCACTGCAGAAAGCCATGTCCAAAGACATGTAGGCACCACTTTCCCAGAGTGAAAACCTTAGACAATAAAAAGTGATTTAAAGACATACAAATTTAAACATTATCATTCCTAATGAGATTGTCCTTTTATCTGATCTTGATAGTTTTAGATAGTAGCTAAAAAGCAAATACAACTTAGCATTGTCATGATTCATGTAATAAATGGAAATTTCAGGGATTTGCATTCAGTTGGTCCCTAAGTCATTGAAATCCCTGGTCACGTTTTCTTAGTTTTATCCTCTGCCTCGGTTGTTGATTTTTTATTTACAAGCTTCTGGAGTTCATGGATGACTTTTTTGAGATCCAATCCATTCTTGGTAGCTTCAAGAGTGGCTTCATTGAAAGGGAAAATGAGAGCAAAATCACCTACGTGGGAGCATGGCCTCATACCTTTGTCTGACAGGAAATATGGGGTGATGTTTTTCTTCTTCTTACATGATTCAGAAGATGGGAAGAGATGGAATGACTTGAATGTAGTCTGTCTGTTTCTTATCTTTGGAAAAGCTGGGGGTACAGAATCTTTTGAAGCCTTCTTTTCTCTTAGTTTTTCAGTAGATATTTCTTTAGGAAAATCTTTGACTTTTTTCTGTAAGGCAATTAAATCATTGCTATAGGCCTTTCCTTGGAATAAAGAGAAAATATTAGAAGAGATGCAAGTCTCCTTGTTATGAGATGTGTATCTAGACGATCCATGAACTGTGCTTTTTTGTCCAAACTGAGAAATGTTTATCCATTGCCCTGAAGTTTCATGGTCTCTATCTTTCTTACCTTTTGCCCAGGAAATTTTACACCAATGCTTTGAAGTTTCACAGACTCTATCTTTATCACTTCCAGTCCAGGAAACGTGAGGCTGGTGGCCTGAAGCTTCACGAGATTCCTTTTTGGTTTTCCTCAGGCGAGTTTGGTTGAAATGCATTAATTCAATGATATCATGGATAAGCTTTCTCTTCACTGACACATCAGTGGAACAGTCTAAAGATAAGCCAGGACTGAAGTTCACTTCTAAAAGCCATGGTTTGAACTTGTCATCAATCAAAATGTCAAATCCAAAGAGCTCAAAGCAATTGGAAGCTGAGGGGACAGAGGGGGCAATGGAGAGAATTGTGAGATGACCAGGTGGTTGATTCTTTGCCACAGAAGCAAGTCATCCACATCCTGGCTGCGCAGATAAGCGAAGAACTTGCTCAGGGTCCATTTACAACCTCGGCCAACCCCTTCTTTATTCTTCTTGTAGGAGGCCCCGGTTTTATTGACACTGCTATTGGTCAGGTGGGAGCAATCGTTCTTCAGGTTATTGAGATCAAACTTTTCAGTGGCAAACCGTACCAGTCCTTCCTGATAGAGGTAAATGGTTAAGGGCTGGAAGCCAGCAACACACACATAAATACGCAGATCACATTTATACCTAGCAATGAGGAAGGGGTTGGTGATATATTTCTGTACAATTGTTGCACAATCAAAGATCAAGTCTTTAAGGTCACTGAAAATCATTATGCCCCTTCCACGAGACAGTTCTGCTGGCTTGCATATCCAATAGCTTGGCTTGGTGCCAAGGGCCTCTTTCTCCCTGGAATATTCAGCTACAAACTTAATATAGTCTTTGGGCATGATAAATGTTAGTGGAGAGAATGCATAAAGAGATGCTCCATAAATCCCTTTCATGTGCTTCAAATGTCTTGCCAAGTAGTCCTTCCTGGTAAGCCTGGTGGTCCCTGGGTGATGATTAAGTCGTTGCCATGGCTTAACATTGCTGTGGTCAATCATACGGAAAGCTGACGTCCGCCAATACAAGTTCCAATCTGCTACATCCTGTACATCTTCATTATATTTATTCCATCCACGTTCTAGTAGAACATTTTTTACTAGTTCAGGAGTATTTTCATCTACACGAAAGACTAACGGCTTTAACACAATCTCTGAATTTTCATCTTCTGTCATCACATGATTTTTCTTTACTAAAAGATGGATAATTAGAAAGGGATTAATACAATGAATTCAGCATGTCATTATCATAATCTAGCAGAATATCTAGGCATAATAGTAATTTGAGCTATTTTACTTTGATATTGTATGCCTGCTCCACTCCAAGCTAAATTAAAGGAAACAAATGAGCCCATTTCTATAGTTTTTACCCAAACAAGTCCACCTATAATTGAACATTCCTTAGAACTCAAATGAGTTGCCAAAAAGGCTAGACCAACTTTGCTATTGGGTATGAGTGGGAATATATGAGTAATATGGCTAAAAGGGTCAGACTAACTTTGCTGTTGGGCATGAGGGGTGACATGCTCTTGACTTACAGCAGTGTTACTTTCAAGGCCAGCCATGTATATTATTTCCCTTTGGTGTAAAAGTGAGGGACCATTATTCAGAGCAAAGAATTAAGATGGCATTCAATGTGAGATTAGATATAAACTAGTAAGGGAGACATCTGATGTGGTTAAAAAGAAGATGCTTAGGATGACAAGATGAGAAGAGCAACATTTTTTCAATTGGCAAAAAAGGTATAAAAAAGGTAGGGAAGAGGATCAAGATGATGCAATGAGTAGTTGTCTAACCACCAACAGGACTGAAGAAATTTATGAAAAAGTGAGAGATATATTTGTTTTCAATAGAAGGCTCATTATCAGGAAAAATTCTTAATAAAATTATTCAAAAGTGGAATGAAGCAACCTTCAAGAAGTTAGTATGAGGCCTCCTTTTGCTTTGTAGTAAGAGTTTTACAATTCAGAGATGATTTTTGACTTGGAACAGTATAATGCAATGACTTTATTCAACCAAACATCATTCTAAATACTTTTGTATATTTCCAAAAATTAAGTCCCTTTTCAATGGATATAGTGAAAGTTGACTGACCACTTGTTGGGGAGTCAATAACCTTTTTTTGTTTCATGGACCCCTACAGCAGTCAGTTGAAGCCTATGGATCTCTTCTTAGAAGAATATTTCTAAATGTATGGACAAGTTATTTACCTCTTGCAGCCTGTTTCCTTATCTGTAAAACGGGAATAATAATACTTGTAGTATCTATTACACAATTTATTGCAAGAAGCAAATGAATTAAGGGGCAAGGAGACGGTATAAGGATTTATATAGAGCCAGGTACTCTAAGTGCTTTTACAAATATCAGCTCATTTAATCCTCACAGCAGCCCTGAGAAGCAGCAGTATTATCATCAGGCTCACTTTACAATTGAGGAAACTGAGGCAAAGGACACACGACTTGGTTTAGTCACACAGCTAGTAAGTAGCTGAGGCTGGATTTGAACTCGAGTCTTCCTGACTCCAGATCTGGTGCTCTATCCACTGTGTCACCAACTGCTATCCAGGCCTTCATCTGAGGCACTGAAAAAAGTCACTTAGATAAAGATATGGATGGCATGCTGAGCAAATTACACAATAATAGAAGAAATGGTTTGTATACTAGATACTAAATTAAAAATTCAAAAAGATTTTGATAGAATGAAATATTAGGGTGAATCTAATAAGATGAAATTTAATAGAGGTAAATGTAGAGTCTTGTATTTGGGATCCAAAAAATCAAAGATGGCAGCTCCTACGATGGGTGGGATGTGGAAAGAACTTGTGATTTCATTGGAATAAAAAAGCTCAATACGAATCAATGGTGTAATGTAGTGACCAAGAATATTAACGTAATATTAATCTGTGTTGATTTCATGGCATAGTGACAGAACCAGGGAAGTGATAGCAACACTACAATCTGTCCTGTCAGATACCATACCTGAAGAGTTGTGTTTGATCATTGGTACCATGTTTTTAGAAAGGCTGTTAAGATGGAGTGTAGTGAAAGACTTTGAGGTCATGACATACCAGAGTAAGTTGAAGGAACTAGGGATGAAATGGCCCACAGGGACCATGATGACAGTCTTCAAGCATCCAAAGGACTGTCATGTGGAAAGATGATTAATCTTTTTTCTGTTTGACCTTAGAGAGCATAACAAGGAATAATGGACAGACATTGCAAAGAGGTATATTTAGACTTAATATAAGGAAAAACTTCCTAACCCTTAGAGTTATCCTATAGTGAAATGGGCTTCCTTGGCCAGTAATGAGCCCTCCCTTAATGAAGAAATTTAAGCAAACAGTGGATGACTATTTGTTTAGGTATTGGTTGTACTAAATGGCCACTGGGATCCCCTCCAATTTTGCCATTATGTAATATATCTAAAGAGCTATATAAATTCTGGTTGTTATTATATATTCTGACTTCAAGCTCTAAGTAGGGCTCTCCAGAAGATATGACTAATTGAAATCATTGGCTCAGGTTCTAGGTATGCTTTGAGGCCCCTGAGTAATATTGCAGTGGACTGAGACTGGTAGAACTTGGAAGTGAAGGGGGTGGAGTAGTTGCACAAACGGTTGTGAAAAAAAATTTTTATGTATCTATATATATATATGTGTGTGTGTGTGTGTGTGTGTGTGTATAGATAGATACACACACATATATGCATATTATATATACAGATAGATACACATACACACACATATATGTGTATGTATGTATATGAGTATATATACATACAATTTATTAACATATCCCTCACCACCACTACTACCACTGCCATCTCCAAGGCAAAGAGATGAGACTGGAGATGGGACTGTCCCATGCTCCTTTCCATATAAAAATGTCCCCTTCCTTTTGTTACTTTCCCATTCAAGACTGCCCCAGATATTCATCTTAACTTGATTTTTAACTACATGAAAATGAGAAGGAGGGAGTGGGGACCACATACTATGCAATTTGCCCAAGCCTGAAATCTTCCACCTCCTCCTCTAGGAATTTCCTAGGCCTACTTCAGTCTTTAAAACCATCAACACTACCTTGCTACCATATTTTTGGCTTGTTTCCAATCTAACCAAATCTCTGAATTTGAAGATGAGATTGAAGGCAGGTGGGAAAGCATCTTAGTAGTTGATTCAGAGATAGGTTGTGCCTTATGGCTAGTGTTGTTGAAGGAGTGATTCATTTACTGGTTGCCAGGGAGATGGTGTTGAGAAAGGAGTTCCACTGGAACTAGCAACAGCTACCTGTGGGGAACCTTAGGGATGGGGGAGGTGAGGAAGTTTACTTTTCAGTAAAGTTTTCTCTTCTTCTGTCACACTGCCTTCATATGAAGAATGCTGAAGAACAATTGTTAATTCTTACAGACTTAAGGTAATATTAGAATTCTTAAGGTAATATCAAATACCTATTATTTTACAAAACAACTGGGAAATGGTCCCTATTAGCTACCCAACCCCTACCTTGCTTTGTAAGAAGGCAATGTTTTGATTTTATGTACAATATATTAAGGACATTTCTAATTGGGAACCTATGTTCTAAGTGTCTGCTTCTGGCTTCTGTAGGAGAAAGTTGTGGGAGAAGGGAAAAGGACTCAAAAAAAGGAAGATGGATGAATAGAAGAAAAAGGAAATTATGTTAGGTGATTCAGAGGGGTTTGGACTCATCAAGAAGGTTGGAGTTTGAACTTGGGAAGGATAAATTTGAAGAAATTTGGGGAAAATTAAGGAAAATTTCAAGAAAAACCTCAAAAATCAGATTCTATTTCTGGGTTCTGTGAGATAAAATTGGAGGATGAGGAGCAAGATCAAGGAAGATCATGGAGATATGATGAAGATTAGGGAGGATTAAGAAGTAATGACCTGAAGAGAATACTTCAAGGTAAAAGACTGAAGAAAAAGAAAAGGAGAAAGTAGTTGAAAAGGTAGAGCTTAAGAAAAGGGAACCAAGGATAGGTCCTTTGGGGACATTAATGATGAGTGGGCATGATCCGAAAGAAGAGACTGCTAAAAGAGACTGAGAAGGAACAGTTAGAGGGGTTGGAGAAGAATCAGGAGAGAACAGCGCCACACAAACCCAGAGAGGCCAGGGCATCAGGTAGAAAAAGACGATTAACAGTGTCAAAAGTTGCATCTTCACAGAAGCATTCAGGTTGAGGAAAGGCCATTAGCTTTGGCAACTAAGAGATCACTGGAAACTTTACAAAAGAGCGGCTTTAGTCCATGATGAAAACCAGATTGCAGAAGATTAGAATCAAATGACAGAAGAGTAAGTGGAGACACAGACTGTAGATGGCTTTCTCAAGGAGTTTAGATATAAAAGGGAGGAGAGACATACGACAATGGCCAACAGGGATGGTAGCATCAAATGAGAGTTGAGAAACAGAGAGACGAAATTCCTGTAATCTTTACCCCTTGGCTCAAACGACCCTTACCTGTTTATAATAATGGCCTATTTATCTGGAGCAGACTTCTGAGTACATGACAATCACTTGGAACTTCAACTTGTCATGAAATAGAACCGTTAAAATGGCTGTCATAGAGGCTGTGCATATGTATATTTGTATCATTTAATCAGTCCATATTATTATGTATTATGGCAAATGGAGAATGAGTTAGTCCCAAAATTAAACAGGAGGAAGAAAGAATGAATTATTGTCAGTTGTTATTATAGGAATATATATCTATGTATATACATATGCATATATATTTGGGAGGCAATTGACCTCAGAGTCACACAGCTAGGAAGTATTATGCATCTGAGGCCGGATTTGAACTCAGGTCCTCTTGACTCCAGGGCCAATGCTCTATCCACTGCACCACCTAGCTGCCCCTAAAAAAAAATCTATATTTCTAAGGCATTGAGGTGGTGCAGATAGAACACTGAACTTGAGTAGGGAAGACCTGAATTAGAATCCTGACTCAGACATTAGTTGTGTAACCCTGGGCAAGTCACAAAATCTCTCCCATCCTCAGTTTCCTCATCTGTAAAACAGTGATAGTAATAACACCTATCTAGGAGGGCTGTTGTGAAGAACAAATGGGATAACCCATTAAAGCACTTTACAAACCTTAAGGTACTATGTAAAAGCTAGTTATTAATCATCTGACTGAGTTGTGAGGATCAAATGAGGTAATACATGTAAAGCACTTTGT